CTGAAGAGTGAAGTAAAAAGCAAAAACAGGAATTATTAGATAAGGTAAAGGGTTTAGAAGAAAGAATTAAACAACTACTTGAATATATCAACATTCCAAAAAAACGTTTCTTATTAAATTGTTTGCTCATGTTAAAAGCTAGTAATGATTCATGCCAAGGTAGTCTTGTTTCTATTTATTACTATACATACGTACATACATACATACATATATACATACATACATACATATTTTGGGAATTTATTTTAAGAAATTGTCAAGCATACAAAAATACCAATATTTTCTTTTTGAAGTATCTAATCTTGGTACAGTAAAAGTTCAAGAAGTTGTTAATGGACCTTTTACTAAATTCAATTTATTGAAAACCCAGAAAGAGATATTTTCAACAAATTAAATCTTTATCTATTTTAGTGTTAACACCACCTCCTTTGGACTACAAAAGGCAATAATACCTTTATAATGATATTCTCCCATTTGTAAGGGATGAATTTAAAGATATTATTTGTCCAAAAAAAACCATATAAAACTTTACTAAAATAATATATTATGGTAGTGAAAAGTAGAAGAAATAATTAACAATATTAAACAAGAACAATTAGAAAACAAATTGAAAGATTTATTGGTCAAACTGAACAATTACATCAAGTTGAAAAAGACTTAAAAGAAAACACTTCTAAGTTAGAAAGCCCTCTATCTTGGAAGTTAAAGAAAAAAGAACTAGACAATTATTTATCTCTAGCAATTTTTGGTAGTGATCTCCCCTTATCAATTGTAGAAAATCAGTACTTTATCAATTTTTGTTTATGAATTACCATCTAGAAAAACATTCATTATCAAATTGTTAAATGATAAATATAATGAAATTATTGAAAATATTAATAATCAAATTGAAAAATCAAAATATGGCTGTATAACAAGTGATGATCGGATAAACAACCATAATGAATCAATTGTTAATTTCATTGTTACTTTACCAATGGAAATCATTTGAAGATGAAGAAATTGACAATGACTTGGATTTCAATTATAATTATAATGACAATAATTATGATAGTGAAAATTATGATTATGGTAATGATTTTGATGAATTTATTAATTTAGAAGACAGTAGTAACAATCAAGAGTTCTATGAAGATGCATAACATAAGTTTATCATACAATTATAACATGTTATATACCATCCATAATCCAATGCTTACTTTGTCTTATTTTGTTGCAGCATGTCTCATATTAATATCGCCGATTTTTATATATCATTATAATGATTACTTTAGCAAATCAGTCAAATCCCACGGCTGGTTACACATTTTATAGTTTTTTTATATACCTTCTTCACCTGGATCGAAGTTTTTCTATTTAGAAAGAGCCTTTCCAACATAATTGGTTATTTCTTAAATACTTTTACCTTAATAAGTGATTATCCTTCTGTTTTTTTTGTATACATTAATGTTAATATATAAAGAAAGTAATGACCCCACGTTTTTCAATCGCGAGATCCTATATATTACCATCCTTGGAAAAGATGTTCAGGACAAATATCTCTCCTGTATAAATTGGATCCAATTATCGTGGAACAACATAAATAAATAAATATAAATATAAACATTTTAAGGGTTTCAATATTAAAGATTAATCATCATTATTCTCCTTATAAAAAATCGCTATATATACCTTATTACCTTGTAATGATATAAAAACAAGAACAAAGAGCTTTAAAAAAAATTATAATATTTTCTGTTTCTCTCTAAAAATACATTTTTAAAAAAAATGGCTTTGTCTAAAAACAAAAACAAAGCCAAAAACAACAACAACAACACCAAGGACGACAACAACAACGATGATAATGATAATAACAGCAGCAGCAGCAGCAGCAATGAGAAAAAAGTCCAAGAGTAAGTTTTTTTAATAATAAAATAATCATTGACATATAACGATAAAACTAATAATATTATTATTGAATTTTTTCGAAAAGATTATTATTAAAAGTGGGAATGGTTGGAGATTCTCAAATTGGAAAAACTAGTTTAATGGTTAAATATGTCGAGGGATCATTTGATGAAGATTATATTCAAACTTTAGGTAAAAAAATATGCATATTTAAATGTGCGAGAGAAAAAGTTTCTTCTTGAATAATACTGACAATAGATAATTATTATTTTTAGGTGTGAATTTTATGGAAAAAACAATTTCTCTAAGAAATCACCAAATAACTTTTAGTATATGGGATCTTGGTGGTATGTTGTATTACTAATAATTCTTTGTAATAAATACTATAAAGAATTATTGGTAAATATAATTAATAATATTATGTAATAATTTTTTTAGGACAGCGTGAATTTGTTAATATGTTACCATTAGTTTGTAATGATGCAGCAGCTATCTTATTCATGTTTGATTTATCACGTAAAGCAACTTTAAATAGCATCAAAGAATGGTTTAGACAAGCCAAAGGATTTAATAAAGTAAATATTTATTATTATTTATTTTAATTATTAATTATTTAATTAATATTAATTAATTACGGAAATTTTTTAGGGTGCAATGCCATTCCTTATTGGTACAAAATATGATCAATTTGTACTTTTTTCAGATGAAGAAAAACAAGCTATTACAAAACAGGTTAATTTCCATCTTTATTTCAAATTATTTACTATTCCTTTTTCTCTTTAATGATTTCCTTTTTCTCTCTATCAGGCTCGTCGATTTGCCAAGGCAATGAAAGCATCATTGATATTTTGTTCAACGTCTCATTCGATCAACATTCATAAAATATTTAAAATAGTATTGTCAAAAGCGTTTGACATCAAATGTACGATTCCAGAGATTAACGAGGTTGGTGCCCCAATATTAGAATATATTAATAATACCTAGTACTTTTTAATTTGTAAATTACTTAATAATATTAGTTGTTAAATATGTATTTTTATTTTGTTATATATATAATTGCTCAATAAAGGAAAAACATTTTTTGCACTTATGAAATTTAAATGCCAATGAATAAGTCTTAACTCACATTTAATTATAACAATGAAATATTGGCCAATAACCGTTAGCTCTTTGTATAGACGGTCAATTAGTAATAACTTTTAACAGTATAAATAAATAAATGCTAATCAATTCAAATTTTTTTTATTTGATAGATTAAAAAAATCAATTTATTAATCACTCACTCGAATGAGTACTCCTATATATAAATGTTAATAAAATACGAATATATTAATAAAATGAAAAGGGCTAGGTCACATGTACAACATATGATTGGACAGCGCTTCAATAAATCTGTTTTTTATTTAACATTTATTGTTATAACTTACAAAGCTGGAGTTGTATTTGTAAGGTATAAAATTTAAGATCCAATGCCTTTACATGTACAAGTTTATTTAACATCATTAATAACTAAGATCACAATTCTATTTACAAATGTCCATTTATTTGGAGACATTGGCTTTAACTGCAAAACTTTGTTCTTACAAATTAAAATTGTTATACGAATTTATTTAAAGTAAAAAGTCACTTTTTATTAAAATTTATTTTTTACTAATTTATACACTACATAATCCTCTATCAAATGAGGTTCATTATTAATATTGTTGCATAATTGTAGATCAAAAAAATCTACTAGCATTTTGTTAATTGCTATATTTTTCCAAGCAAGTTGCCCATTCAGGTTTTTTGACTCATTTAATATTGAGCCATTAATTTGTCTTCATTTACCTTAAAATGAAGCTTTTATTTCATATTCCTCATCTGGGAACATACCCTCCTTATTCTAGCATGCTGGATGATATCCACCTACTAATTCTTCAGTTCCCTTAATCTTAATTTTCATTATAACCACAGTTTGTTCAATATTATAGCATTTCTCCTCAAAAATTGCACTTGAAATAGTGATGTTAGCCGTTTAAAAATCCTTGGCCGTCTAAGCCGTTTACTACCTAAATTGGTAATTTTATTTCTATAACCAAAAGGTAACGCGGGAATCCATTACCAAATTTAGAGATTATGTATGCAGATTATTATTAGACACCCACTACTTTGAAAATCTATCTTGAGAACCACAATGGATCAATTCAAAATCGTGAGATGGATTATTTATCTCAATCCAATTAGCCAGTAAATATTTCATTTCTAATCTTAATAATCTTCTGATTCTTGGACCTTTTTGAAGCAATAGCTTTGGTTGTCATTTGTCAGCATGATTGTAATATTGAAATATATTTCTTTCTCAATAGTTTTTTATAAGGTTTGATTTTTTCATTAAAACCATTTGAAGAGATCACATTAAATCTTATTAGCAGAATAATATTTCAAAAGTGTTTTCAATTTAATTATATTATCATTGTTCCACTCGAAATATCTTCTCCTAGTTTGATTGATTTTAGTTTTTTATTTTTTGATAATAATGTCCTAATTCAATTGCATTTTTTTTCCTCATACTTCTTCTAAATTTTCAATTTGTTTAATTCCTCATCAAATAATATGGTTCCAGATATCAATTTCATTTTCTACATTTAAATCATCTCTTTCCAATATTGATCAAATTGTTGATTCTTCAATAACTTTATAACCATCATCATCAGAATAAAAAAAAAACAATTCAGGATTTTCACAAATTAATTTTTTAAAATTATCTTGAAACATGCTAAATGATAAATGATATCATGATGAAATTCTATGAACATAAATTAAATTTTGTTTAATCCATTCATTTTTTTTTAACCATTAAATAATTCTATAAATTGTCAATCAATTCACAAAAGCATAATTGACCACAAGTTTCAAGAAGTTCAAGAATTTCATCTGGTTCCAACTATCAACATCGATGGTTCCATTATAAATATATCTTTTGAAAAAAAATTTTTTTTGTATTAGATTTATATTTAAAGATGGTAATTATATTAATTATATAAAAAATCAATAATAAATAAATAAGATTATTATTATTTACGTTAAAAGAATCTCAAATATTTTTGGAGAAGTATCTTTTTATTTCCAATAAAATTACTCCATTTTTTGATCTTTTTCACCCAATTATTTGATAATGCCACCTTAAAATAAGATCTTGCTTTCAAGATGTTAATGTGCCTTGAAAGCTTTAATATTTTCCTCTCCAATTTTAATCTCTGCATCATAATAATCTGATCCATTCAACAAATCTGTCAAATCATTTACAAGTTTAACAATATGTTTTTAATGGTAGAACATCTTCGTTGGAATCAATAATGTTCTTGATTAACAAGGTGGCATTTTCCAAAGATGTTATTAAACCTTTTAAAGAATTTTTTAAAAAAATTGACCATTAATTAATAAGAAACTAGAGTGGCGATAACCACCACCATTCTTATGATAAATACTTACTCGTTTCTTGTTTCAAGTATATTGTCTTTGTTTATTTTTTTATAAAAAGAAAAAATACGCGTTTAAAAAAAAATTCAAAAATTATTATTGGCACTTGGTGTTGTACAAAGATTTTTTTTTGGAAAAACAATTTATTTTTTGACCAGAGTCCAAGATAACAAAACGTGAATGATGTTGTTTGGTTCTCCTAAAGAAGTGTTAATAACTAACCAGAGTACTTTTTTTTTGTTTGCATTTAAATATTTTAATTGGAATCAAAAGGCAGAGCAGATCTTGCTGGGTAATTATAAGATTCTTATCAAATTGGTAACAAATGAACAATTGGTATTTGCTTTGCGTAATAGTAATATTAATATTATGATCACATTACAAATGACTAAATTTTGATCCCTGAAATTCTTGGTACATAGACAAACTCGATAAATCGGATTTAGCTTAACTTGGACAAAAATTTCCAGCCCTTTTTTTTTATATTTAAAAATCTCTTGATAAGCCGGGCACACATATAAACTCTCGTTAAGCTATAAGTCGGACGACTCATAATAAATAATAAATTAAAATGACTCTCGATAAGTTGGTTCACGTGATTTTTGTAAATCTTTGAGAGATCATCTTTACTATTTTTAGTAATGTATGAATGATCCAATAATAAATTCATGATATGTTTCGTGAATAATATATTTTTATTGTATGTATACATTATTTTGGATAATATATTTATTATCAATTATATATTAATACCATTCTAAAAATTTATCTTAAAATATTGAAAAAATCAAGGCTGAGAAGAATATTTGTCACCAGTATTTGATTAACAGCAAACAGTGAATTATTTAATAAAGAAGTGGAATTATCAAAGTTTATTTTAATTACTACTACTTTTTAGCCACAAAACTGAAAAATTACCAGACCTTTTTTCGTTTTAGATTGAGTTTTTTCTTGGATAAATATTATTATAGGCTTTTAATGCCTTCACTATTAATTAACTTTGTTCCAAAAAAATGTAAGCATGAAATTAAATGAAAATGTAATTGTAAGTTATAACATATTGATACGTAAAACCAGTGATGTTAAAAATTTTGATCCCTGAATCCTTTGTAATGCAAATGTTCACTTTGTTGCAGTATGCAACAACACAAACAGTTAACCAACTTTTGATGAGTAAATTCAACTGCGCCATATAGACAAATTTGTTAGATTCAAAATAATTTCATTCCTCGCATAATCATCAGCTAGTAAGTTTTTGGTTTGCTTTTGTCAATGCTTTAAGACATGTGGGCGAATTTGACTCAGTCTCTTGATAAGTCAGTTTTTAACTAACCTATATATAACTCAGTAGCTGTAAATCGGCCACTTAACAAAGGACCGGATGAATAAATTCGACTGCGCCTCGTATATGTCCGCAGTAACTTCCAAATTTGGTTAACACTTAACACGCGTGTTATAAACTATATATGGCGGTCATGTTTACATAACAAAATGGGGACCGGCAACAAAGAACTTTCTAAAATAATAGCGTGTAACATAATTAAATAATGACCTGTCTTAAAAAAGAAAAGACGGTAATAAGCACACCATATGATTATAAATTATTATTATGAATGAACGAGTTATCCGAATTGCCTAATTGAGAGGAAAAAAACCAGCTTCTCTCAATACAATCTAGTATGGATATTTTATATATGTTTATTTATAAATAATAATAAACAAAATTTGTGTAAATTGTAAATAAATTAACACAAAATTATCATTATTGTAATTTTTATAAGTCACATGTTTCGATAAGTCAGCCAGCCCATCATGATCGAGACTACTAGTGTACGAAACAAAATATTTTTTTTATTTTTACAATACATCCAGCCAATAAAAACAATAGAAACTGTTCAAACTGTTCAAAACTGTTCACTTTGTTTGTAGTATACCCAATAAAAAAAATATTTTTAAATAAATAGGTAACTGTTTTTATTAAAAAAAAATAAAGCAACAATCACACATTATTCCTCTACTCTCTCAAACATTCTTTTGCTTACAACATCCCATTCTCGCAAAAAAATCAATAGATTAAAAAAGATTTAAAATCAACATATGCATATATATTATATATTGAATAGAAAATATAGAAAATAATTAAAAATTAAAAATTAAAAATTAAAAATATAAAAATTATAAATATAAAATTCTTTGAAAAATGGAATTACCAGATCATGTAAGACATCATGTAAACGTGGCAGTGGTTGCAATGATACTTGAATCAAGAACCGGTCATAGTAATAGAAGTAGTATGTATGGATCATCAGTAAATAGTAATTTCTCTCAGGATACAAAAAGAGGCAAGTTTTATTATTTATTTATTTAATAATATTAATAATGATCATTCAATCAAATTGGTTAATTAATTATCATTTTTACAACAACTAGCATCAACAGCGACAACAACAGCAACAAACACAACGGGAGAAATGTGGACAATGAGTGATAAATTACACGAGATAATATTTAGCTGTCTTGTATCAGAAGAATCTGTATTGAGGTTTGTTAATTGGTTTTTTGATGGAATAAGAAAAACATTCGATGATAAAACTCTCTTTCTCAATAATAACGTTAATGATGTCAATAATGATGATGGTAACATCAAGAATATAAACAATGATGGTAATAATGATAACATCAACAAAATCAACAAAATCAACAATGTAATTAAATTCCCAACAACATGTTTTCAATGTAATAATAACTATTTAATGGAAAATTGGTGTTATCAATGTGAATCATTTCTATTCCAATCGAATTTTCATAAATGGACATCTGACAATAAAGAAATCGACTCGTTTATTAGAGAGACGCAATTGGAAGTACCAAATTACTATAAATTTTTAAGATATTTTGGAAATTATGAAGAAGAATTTCAAAACATCAAAGAAATAAACACGACCCCAAAAAATGTATTATCCGAATCCAAATGGATCAGTAATAATAACAATAGATTTAATGGCACATTGAAACAGTGGGTATATAATACACAATTAGAAATTATTTTGGATTATTTAAAATTTAATAATAAAGGATTATCGGAGAAATTAAATAATGACAAATTAGACGATAAATTATGGAATGATTTATTACAAGATTTTATTGTTAGAATGAAAAAAATATATGAGATGAGAAAAACTTTAAAATTAAGATTTGCTGATCATGATGATGATACCAAATTGGGAAATGACGGTGATGGCGGTGATGGTGACAATGTAAATGGAAACGGACAAGTACAAGGGATACAAATTAAAGTAAACATTAATTATTCAATTGACACATATCAATTTATTTAAACAGCTCTAATATAAATTAAATTTTTTATAATTAATAGAGAAAAGAAACAAATAGATTCTTTAAAAAATTATTTAAACTTCCATTAAGAAAAAAGAAAAAGGTTTTTAATTAATTGATTAATTTAACTCTTTACTTTTAATCCTTGTATTTATCAATTTTTTAAAAAAATTTTTTAATTACTAGTTGATAAATAATCAGGTGAGAAGGGATTCATCAACAATTGCAATCAAATATATTACAAATGTACCAAAATCAACATCGCCGTTTAATGATGATGCTAATAACGATGAAGATAAAAATAAATTAGTAATGCTTAAACAAATTTTAAATTCTGAAAATATTTCAAAAGATTTTATCACTCAGGTTAGGAAATAAACGAATATATCTATAATGTATATATATATATATTTATAAATATTTATTAATTTTTTTCTATTATATATATCAAATATAAATATAGTTAAAAAATTATCACTTGAACATAAATAGTGACAAAATACCCCAATTATACGGTATAACACGGGAACCCATAACAAAAGATTATGTGCTAATATATCAACATACAAATTCCATCAATCTAAATCAATTTCTATCAAAATATCATAAAGTTTTAAGCTGGGAACAAAGAATCAATATATTATATGATATAATTAAAGGATTGAGAGATATACATAAAGCAAATTTAACACACAACAATTTAAATCCTAATAATATATTAATATCTGATAATAATAATAATGGTGATGATGGTAATAATAATAGTAAAAGTAATACCAACAATAATATTAACAGTAATGTCAATAATGATGATGATGATAATAACAATAATATTAATAATAATAAAATAAAAGTTTATATAACGGATGCAGGGTTAAATAATTTCAATAAAGATCAACAACTATATGGTATACTGCCATATATTGCGCCTGAAATGTTATATGGTGACGAGAGTAGTAAATCATCTGATATCTATAGTATAGGAATAATAATGTGGCAAATATGTTTTGGAAGGGTACCTTTTAGTAATAGATTACATGATAATCAATTGGCAATTGATATTTGTAACGGTTTGAGACCTACAATTAATGCTAATATTAATAATATCAATACTAATAATAATAGCAATAATAATCTTAATAGCAGTAATAGTATTGGTAGTAGTAATAGTATTGGTAGTTATAATAGCAATAATAGTATACCTGATTGTTATATAAAGGTAATGGAAAGATGTTGGAATGCAAATATCAATAACAGATCAAATATTGACGAATTGTTTGAAATAGCATCAAGGTGGAAGGGTTACGACCTAATAATATCTGATTCTAATACTATCGCTATCGCTATCACTACAACTACAACCACATCTACAACCGCAGCTAATAATAATAATATCAATGATAATAATAATAATAATGGCAATAATAATTTCAATAGTGTCAATAGTACTAAATCAAAAACACTAGCTAATAAAGCAGCCAATGAATTCAAACAATTTTTAGAAGCTGAAAAATTTCGATTAAATAAACTAGGATTTAACCATACGATCATTAGTCGTAGTAATAGTGGTAGCAATAGCAGCGATAGCAGCAGCAGCAGCAGCAGTAACAGTAATTGCAATAGTAATAATGATGACGGCAATGACGACGACAATAAAAATAAAACAATGGTATTGGAAAGTAAATTTCTAAGGCTTCGTGATTTACCAATTCCAAAAAATTCATTACCAATAGAAAAATCAAGAACAAATTCAGTTGATGTTACCAATGATGCTACAAATAAAAATCAAGATAATCAATTACAACAACACCAAAAGAAAGATATAGATGATGATAATGGAAGTGGCGGTGATAATAATAATAATGGAAATGATGATAATAATAGAAATGACAATAAAATTAAAATTATAGACGATTTTACAGGTAAAAAAAAAATTTATGTTTCCTGACAGATTAATCAATAATTTATGAGTTAATTAATTAACGATTTTCACTTTATTTTGTAATAGGTTCATCAAATAATAATAAAATAATAATATAAAAATAAAATGTTTTTTTTTTTTTTTGAGAAAATATATTTTATTTATTTATTTATTTATTTATTTATATTATTTATGTTGTAAAAATCTTTTTGTTTTATTAAATTTGAGTGGTAATGTATTATTTAAAAATAAAATAAAAAAATTAGGTATATAATAGTTTAAAGATGATAATAGATTTTATGAAATAGAAAGTATTACCAAATAATTTGATTATATATGTATATCAAAAAAATAGTTATAATCTATATAGACAGCTTTGAAAATAAAAAGATTTAATCCTGGTGATTATTTAGTTCATTCATCCTCAGAAATTTCTTCACACATTCCATAATAATAAAGTATGGGAAAGCGATCGACCTAAAGAAGTTTACTTTTTTTCCCAAAAATCAAAATCTTTAGGCACATTAATTTCTACTGATTATTACCAATGCTTCTCAAATATTCTGTTTCTAGAAATTCTTGATGATCTTTTGGGAAATTCCGAATCATCAATTAAGATTCTAATTTGGTGAAATGATTCGTAAACCTTTTGCGTCCGGTTTTCATCAAGTGAATGACAAAAAGATTTTAAATCTACCATCAATTCCTCCGTCGCGGATCCAAAATCACGTAATAAAAGATCTTAGATTATCACATCTATATATATATATTACTTTTATATATAAAAACTACTAGCACCATTTTTAGATATTCACAAATTTGGAATGTGTTTTGTTGTACGGGAAATATTCGATCGTAAAGGAAGATTCGTTGCGACTTGGAACGTTATTATTGTTATTACGATCAGTTATATTCAGAAGCGAAACAGAATCCTGAATCATTGCTCCACCACTTCATTAGACTGAATTTTTTGGAAAGGATGAAACCAAAACCAAAGTGTCAAACATTGTGATATGCCATTTTTTGTTGTGCTGGCTTGTGTCAAAATGAAAATAAAAAAAGTTGAAATTTGTCGAACAGAAACATTTTTATTCTTCAAAAATAATAAATCTTGATAGCAAATACCATGTATTGCGTACAATTGAACAATCATTCATTTTTGTTCAAAATATTATGATTGAGTGAAGCAAACACTTGATTGGAAATCAAGATTTTTTTTTTGTATGATATCGGCCATTAGGTTTTCATCTGTCTCTGGCATTTAGAATATCCGTAATGACCAAAAACTAATGGCCATGTCTTGGGTGCCTTTAACCCAGACCATAAAGCGTCAAAAGGATTCATCACATGATGTATTAACATTTTCTGGTCACCAGACCAGGAATTCGAAAAAGCATTCCATTATTACTATTATTGGTTAATCAATAATAAAAAAATAAACCAGTTTTGACCATTTGAAGAATGGCGTACGGTCTGAATAAAAAATCATTGTTATTATTTTATTGTTGCCCTTTGCTGAGATTTCCTTTTTGGAAAAAGAAAATAAACAAAAATCCCGTTAGTGAAAAAACACAACTTGATCGTAACTAAATTAGAATACATTTTCATTCCCCCACCATTTCAAAAGTCATTCTTTGGTGTTGATTAAGCTTAGTTAATTTTTTTCACCCCCAATCCCAACCAATTTTGGAAATTATTGCGCTTTTTTATAGATTTGAAAAGAAAAAAATCTGGTTGATTAAAACGATCTTTGATCTGGGATAAATAAATAAAATGAATAAATGAATAAACTAATTTGTCTTTCAAATATTTTTTACTCACTCGCTTATCATCTTGCATTATCAACTTTGACTTTGACAATAAAAATAGTAATCTTTTTTCATATCAAAAAGCAAATATAGAAACAATAATGTTTGTTTATCAAGTCATCCATCAATGGGACACATACACTGACTGGGTAGCTGTGTGTCGTGTAAAAGATCAGGAAAGTGTTCAAAATGAATGCTGCCGACAACAACATGGTCGATAGAATATAAAAGAACAGAATAATGTCTATTGTATGTAAGTCTCTGTTAGCTTCTGACCATACTCAATCCTTAAAATTCCACACCTACCCAATCCCAATCCCATCTCATATCCCATATCTCATATCTCATATCCCATATCCCATATCCCATATCCCATATCCTATTAATATAATTAACAAAATGTATTGTATTTGTTAATAAAAAGTATTACCATAAACCATAAAAATGATTAAAAGAGAAATAAAAAGAAACATTTTTTTAAGATTTAAAAATTTCTGCTTTCCAACAAATTTTTTATTTGGGAAAATCAAGTTTTTTTTTTTTGACTTTTTACTCAACAATAATTTTTAACACAAGAATTTATAAATTGATGAAAAAATTGAACCTTGCTTGCATAGTAGAAAAATAAGATTAAGACTTGGAATATTTTCTCTATAAAAACATACGTGTATACCAAAAATAGATTTTTTGTCTGGTATATAGCTCGATTTTCCTAGTACAAACCCCATTTATTAATATCAAATAATAATAATAATTTATAATAGTCACATAACAATTCTTTCTTGATAGTACATCGCCAAACCATTTACCATAGATCTATTTTTTGGAAAAGAAAAAAATTAATTAATGCAATGCCGTTACTAATATCAACGATAAAAAGGTTTCAACTGAAAATGTTGATAAACAAACATGAAATAAGATAAAAAAAAAAAAAAACAGAAAATAAAATGAATCATCTTCGTATTTCATCAAAATCACATATAGGACTTCTTTATTTGAGCATTCTCTTTCATAAAAGATTTTTGGTCATCATCTTCATGTTTGTCTTATCAACGTTTCAGTTTGCTCCAAGAAATAGAACCAAGCTTGAAGGGGTTTTTTGACCAACTCTATTTAGCAGCTCGGCCATATGAACAAATAATGGACTATATGAAAGGGATTAATGGTGTTCATGTGTTATCTTCTTGCTTCATTAAATAATACAAAAATAAACTCTTTAAGTTCGACCTTGTATTCTATTTAGATTCGGTAGGTACAACAAGTCTTGGGGCAAGAGCAGTAGATCGTAAAAAGAAGCAAGTTGCATATGAACACGAGAAATATGTAGAGAATGCACTCGCAAAATATTCAAAAAGCATTCATATTGAATGTTGACGATTATCATAGCATTCACGTCCAGAGACAATCTAATACTACCACTATATCAAGCACGAAATCAGTATCCTTTGATTACTAAAACTTCATCTAATGGTGTTAATTGCCTTCTTTAGTTTGCGAAATAACCAATCGTCACCTTCCAAGAGGCTTTGTTACTTCTAGGAAACCATCTACAAACATTTTTTGCAATTACATAATTGTGATTACACTAGCTATACTAATTTGAATAATTGTAGTGTATATATTCACGTGTGGATATGGTTATCACAATAATTGCCAATCTAAATGTTTGATATCTTGGACTATCTTCAAGTCGAAATCAAAAAAAAATGTCAATGCACTAAAAGAAAGTATGACGAAAAGATTAAACAAAATGAGTTTATCGAAAATATCGAAAATATCGAATCAGCAATAGACGGTGTAGCAATGGAAATTTTATTAGAAAATGCAAAAAAAACCATTTTTTGGTTGTAAATTTTGTTTTTATTAAATAAATTTGTTTGATTTTTTCATACATCGTCTTAATCGTATATCTTAAATATTGGTTGTGTTTACAATCATTTCGTCGACATTCATTATATTAAGGTTATTTTGATTATATCGAGAGATATGGTCAAGAGAAGAACTAGGAAGAGAATTTTCTTCAACCAAGTCGAAAATCAACCCTTTAAATACATTTTCAAGTAGTACAATTTAATTATTAGACTATTTCAAAGGTTTGTCGTATGGTTGCTAAATTCGAACCATTTGTTAACGAAACAACTATTGGTGAAGTGATTGTTGACAAATGAATCAAACAACATTTATTTTTACGTTATCAAATTCACGATTAATCAAAAATTGCATGGGTTAAAATTTTGTTACCTGTTCTTGTTCCTTCACTCAAACAACGTTCTGGCCTTGGGGTAATTCTTGCTACTATTATTTAATTCTTTTATCTAAAATAATTTTATTCCTTTTCATTCCCCATTTATATTGACACGTAAAACTTGCTTTTTCGAATTATAATAAACACTTGTTGTGTATGAATTTAATTTATTTATTTTTGCTTCCTATGTTGTAAATAAACATTATCGTTTGCATGAAAACCTTATGCAACGTAAAAATTATAATAACCAATAATAAAAAATAAAAGATAAAAGTAAAAAAAGAGCAATAAATGAAGCTATCAAAGAGCTAAAGAGAAATACAGCCTTATTTACTATTTAAAATAAAACAAACAGTTAATATGTTTTCAAAAACAATGATATTGACTGTAATAATAAATAAATGATGAAAATACTTACATGCTATTCATTATTTAAAATAAAAATTAATAGTTAGTATATTTTACAAAACAATGATAATTGGCTTTAATAATAGCAAATTATGAAAATACTTATGGACCTTTTGTTGGAAATTTTGCTAGACACTTTTGTAATACTTCCAATGAATCTCTTATGCCTTGGTAAATAAAGAATTGGAACATCATAAATTGGTTCAAAAGTTTTAATTTTGTTGTCTAAATCAATATTATGATTGTTATTGATAAATTCCAAATCAACATCATCATATATTAAATCAATTAATTACTTTAGGTAATCTGCATACATCTCCCGTAGTTTTTCTCTATTGCGAAAAAAAATCATTCACAAAAATCTCACAATGACAACGTTGTGCGCGAATTTGAAATCTGCGTCGAAGCTCAAATTAGCCCCACCCGAAATTTAATTAATAAATTTCAGATTGACATAACAACATCTTGGTTGGCTATAAATTCATTCAATCTTTATTTTTAATGAAAACCTCAATTAATTCAGTATGGGCAGAACATCTAATCTAATATGGAAAGTATTAGATATATAATTACAAACAGGGGAAGTCAAATAATAAAATCAAAACGCTTTTGCATAAACTGTTATAACTCACCATTCAGATAAGATTTTTAATTCTGAAAAATATTTTGAATTCGCAGGACATATTTCTACAACATAACAGAGCCGTATTCTAAAAAGATTTATTGACATTGTGTGTACTTTCATACTACAAATGTAAAAATCATAATAAGCAAAGAAAAAAACAGTTCTGTTACGTTATGGACAAGGTTTCTAGGAGTTTTTGATATTTTTAATTTTTTCTGTAGCTATTTTGTTTCCAAAATTATAAACGTTTTAAGATTCGGATTATTAAACTCATCATGCGAGTAATTCTGAAAAAAATATTTTAAGCTCGCAGAACTGTATAACAGAGCCATATTTTTAACATTGATGCATTTTCATACTGCAAATCTGCAAATGTAACTTGTCATAAATTCTAGATGCCCACTAATACAAATTTAAAAATCAAAATAGTGTTGTTATGTTGTAGACAAGGTTCCTAGGAATTATTAAAACCATTTGATCTGCATGTTTATGGTATAAAACCCTACTGATTTTATTATGATTATATTTATTATATCTAACGCCTCAATCTAATATGTTCAATGTCTTTAAAAATATTTCATTATCCACATATTTATATTAATATTGACTTTAATTTATTTGGATAAGCATATCGTTTAGTAATTGGTATTAGTATTAGTATTAGTATTAGTATTAGCCTTTTTAGTAATTTCCGACGATCAAAAGTTCAAGTGATTAGCGTAATATTAATAATATTAAATGTTTACATCATCATCACACTAATACATGAACTGTTTATTTACGTAATTTTATATTTTCCAAAGAAATAAAAAAGTTTAGTCACACACAAGCATTGAAAAAAACTTTTTTTTGCTTGTCAGTTGAACAATTTAAAAAAAAAACAAGCGATAAATAATTTATAATTAGATATCTTTATTTTTATAATTTAACGTCTCTTTATTTAAAATAAAAGTTTTCATTACGACAAAAAAAAAAAAAAATAAATAAATAATGACGACAATTACAGATTTCGCTGACGTAGATGGTTGGATTCAACATCTGATGCAATGTAAACAATTACCAGAAGCCGATGTAAAAAGATTATGTGACAAGGTATTTAATTAATAGGTCTTTTAAAGTTTTTGAAAAAAAATTTTTTACCTACAAATTTAATTAATAATGTTTGCCATAATAAAAAAAATTGTTGCGCTTTTAAAAATTATATTTGAAAAGTATTACTACTAATAGTATTCTTATGGCATTGATAAAATAATATTATTATTAACATTATTAATAATAATTTATTATTCACTACTTACGACACACACACACACACACACACACACACACACACACATAGGCTCGGGAAATTCTTATGGAGGAATCAAACGTTCAACCAGTTAGATGTCCAGTAACGGTTTGTGGTGATATCCATGGGCAATTTCATGATCTAATGGAACTATTCCGTATTGGTGGAAATTCACCGGATACCAATTACCTTTTTATGGGTGATTATGTAGACCGTGGTTATTATTCTGTTGAGACTGTTACCCTACTTGTTGCTCTAAAAGTTAGATATAGGGATCGTGTTACTATTTTACGAGGAAATCATGAATCAAGGCAAATTACCCAAGTATATGGTTTCTATGATGAGTGTTTAAGAAAATACGGTAATGCCAATGTCTGGAAATTCTTTACAGATCTATTTGATTATTTACCTTTGACTGCGCTAATTGATGAACAGGTTTGTACTAAAATATTAATATTTATATTTATTAATATAAATTATATTCTTGGGGAAAAATAGTTATTTTCATTGATAATTAATAACCTATAATAATATTTACTTGTTTATTAATTAATTAATTAATTAATGTTTATGACAGATCTTTTGTCTTCATGGTGGTCTATCTCCGTCTATTGATACCTTGGACCACATCAGGTCTTTGGATAGGATCCAAGAAGTTCCTCATGAAGGCCCAATGTGTGATTTACTATGGTCTGATCCAGATGATCGTTGTGGTTGGGGAATTTCTCCCAGAGGTGCTGGCTATACCTTTGGACAAGATATATCAGAGGCATTTAATCATAATAATGGCTTAACATTAATTGCTAGAGCTCATCAATTGGTCATGGAGGTTACTGTTAATGATAATAATATGTGCAGTTATACATCTATGTTTTTTTAATAATAATAATAATAATAACAATAATTTATTTAAAATATTAGGGATATAATTGGTCGCAAGATAAAAATGTAGTCACAATTTTTAGTGCTCCTAATTATTGTTATCGTTGTGGCAATCAAGCTGCAATCATGGAAATAGATGAACATTTGAAATATACGTTGTAAGTTTCCTCTATCTAAATGATTATTATTATTATCAAAAATTTTTTTTAGAAAAATTAAAAATTTTCTTTTACCTCAAATTTTTAGTTTGCAATTTGATCCTGCACCAAGAAAAGGCGAACCACACGTAACTCGTAGAACACCAGATTATTTCTTGTAAACTAATAATAATAATAATAATAATAATAATAATAATAATAATAATAATAATAATATAATAATAATAATAATAATGACAATAATATTAATATTAATATTAATTATTACTACTGCAACTACGTAATACTATCATCGTAATGTTATTGTTTTTCTTTCCTTGTCACAATAATCATCAATTATCGATTAAAAACATATTTAATTAATCAGCAAAGATAAATTTAAATTTATTCCATTAATTAATCAATCAATCACTTATTTATTAATTATTGTTGTAATTTTTTTTATTTTTTTATTTTTTATATAAATATTATTTAATTTTTCCATTTTTTTAAAAAAATATATTTAGAACTTTTAGAAATAAATAGGAAATTAATTTTGGTTACATAAAGAAAATAATGTATCCATAATTTCTATATATTGATTCAAACCGAACCGAACCGAATCAAAGCACGAATTGGATCGAATTTCGTTGATTTGTTCGGGGCCTTAATATTCTTGTTATAATTTATATTTCAACAATTAGTAATAGGGCAGGTGTTGAAAAAATCATGTTATCATTTTGACAGGATTTTGAACATATTTAGAAACTTCTTTGATTAAATACTTTTTTCTATCAGCAGATAAACTCATAGGATTTTTTTCTTTTCAAAAAAACTTGGTCTATATTATCTAAATTTTTAGTCATCAATTAAAAGTTCTGCATTAATAATCAAAATCACAATTCTTGTCATCTGTATTTGTTTACAGAATTCTGGTGGCTTCTAATGCTTCTTTAACCCACCAATTTTCTATTAATGAATTCTTTGTCCGAGTCTAAAATATCAATATAGTAAACATTAATAATATGATTGCTTATTCAAAATCAAAAGACATGGCACACCTCAAAAGGATCAAGGAATTTATTTGATCCATTATGATATTTTTATCTGGTGATTCTTATTAATATGATCTAGAGCAATTCTGATATCATTTTCTGCTATTTATCTCTGTTCAAACAAGTAGTGTACAGCTTGATAAAAATCTATAGCTTTAATGCACCCAATTTATCCCAAAATTTAATTTATGTTGTAAAAAATTTGGTGGTGGATGATAGGAAAATTTTTGCATGTGACTTAAAAAAAAATTAAACTGTGCAAAATTATTATGGTTTGGTCACTGCACTTTTTTTTTGTGGTAAATTTTTACAATAAAAAAATCTTGACAATCTTGAAGTAACTATATCTAAGCAGTTTTTTATATCCATAGAAGCAAGACAATTCCTTTAACATGTTTTCATAGGACCCCGATCTATGTAAGGTTAGTGATGGATTAGTGCCATGGTAAAAAGAATTACCACGGCAAAATACCCAGGATTACTCTATATATTGAATTATTGAATTACTAGGATAATAATATGATAAATAGCAGGTAAAAAAGAAAATCTTGGGATTTCAAAAAAGTGTGATATGATCTGCAATTTGCTACCTGAAATTTATGTTAGTTGTTTTATTATTACTATTATAAAATTTTCTTCTCTCAATTGGATATGGCCAATATTTTCTCAAAAGAACCTGCTTTTTCTAAAATTTTTTCATAAAGTTATTACCACAATATAAACATTTCTCACCAGCCATCAAAATTGATTTAACAAATATTGAAGAAGAAATTGCCTTAATTTCATCATAATCACTCCCACCATTACCACCACTACCACCAATTCTCTTGTTTTTTTTTTTAATATCTTTTTGATAAAAACAATGAATGGAAATAGCTTTATGATGACATAAATTACAAGATCTTGAATATTTTGTTTTCAATATTATCAAAGTTAGTGAACAACAATCTATTAGAAAAAAATAATATAAATTTTTTGGTAAAAATATTATTATTTATTATTACTAATATTACAAATATTAAATATTATTTTTACCTAAAGAATGTCCATTTTCACACATTCCTTTTAATCCTGGTATTATTGAATAATGTGCAATAATAAATAACAGCATTATTAATTAATTAAGAAATAATATTAATGATAATAAAATGTAATGACAATAGTAAAAAAGTAAGGAAAAAGGATATTTGCTTGACAAATAGGACATAGATCTCTTGCATTTAAGTTGATTGATTGTGATTCATTATTATTACTACTGTTAGAGGAGATCAAATTGGTGACTAAAGATATTTCATTTTCTAATGATTCAAATATACCATAGTTTTGACTTTTTAAAGAATCCAAATATTCATATGCAAATTTTGTAATCTTTAATAAACTCTTATCTTCTGAATGACATAAAAGTGACAAATCACATAATCTCAATGTGAACTTTATATCTGCCTCTTTAAACAAATATATTTAGAACTAGAAATCTTTAGTTAGATATGTTAAAAAAAAACATATTGATTGGATAGTTGCTCACCATTAATAGTCAATCCAGATTTCATACAATTGACAATGAGTAAAAGAACATTTTTCAAATAATGATTTTCAATTTTCTTCAAATAATCAGTAATTATTACTCCAAAATGTGCTTTTTTCTTATCTGAAATTCCTAAATTCTGGGGTTTTTTGGTTACCAATTGTAAATAATAATTATTAGCATCATTGACGTGTTTAATACATTTATAATACATTTTTAATAATAATAATAATAATAAGACTCACCACAACATTTAAAAGTAAATAGATTATTATTCTAAATGAATTTATTAAACCATTCGCATATAATCTATCTCTCAATTGTCTAGTAATTTCATTTAAATTAATGCTAATTTTCCCCATAAAAATAATTTTTTTTTAATTAGCAAATCTAATTTCCATACAGTTATATTCCTTAAATTGATTACCTTTTTATTAAATATAAAGATTCAATATTTGTTAATTCTTCATCATCTTCGTTACCATAATTATTTAGATGTAAATTGTTATTATATGATTGTTTACAAATTGCAATCAATTTTTCAAGTAATGAATCTGATTCAGTTTCATTTTCCGGGTCACAAAATTCCAAAATATCCCATAACACATATGAAATTGAATTTCTAAGGACTAAATATATCATATATATGAATACAAATTATAAATTATAAAATAATTATCAATCAATATAATCAAATAACATATAATATGTAATAAATATTTTCTTACTAAAATATTTGTCAGATATTAGTTCTTTAATTCTTGAAATCAAAGAATCATGGGTTTCTTCATTATTATAAAGTATGGTTGGACAAAATATTAAATGTGAAATCTCGCTATTATTTGTACGATATTGCATATCAGCTCTTTCCAACCTAATATTAATTAAAATTAAAACTAAGCCAAATGATTTTTTTTTTCATTGTAATGAATTTTTAAACCATACCAAAATACAATCACCGCAAAGATTCCATTGCAAGATCCATCAACTCCAAGAAAAATTGGTTCTTTTTCCAACCAATCATCATCATCATTGTCAATACTATTCATTTCTACATCATCATCCATATTATCATCAATGAATACATCTTCGTCATTATCTTCACAACGTTCCTCCTCTTCATCTTTTAATTCTTGTTCTTCAATTATATTAACTAAAACTTCATTAATGCAATTTGTTAATTCATCATCTATTTTTAATCCATTGTTTTTTGTAACCTCCAATGTCCAATTATTACCATCCATTGTGAAAATATGTAATTTGGATCCATCATGACTCCAAATTAAACCTAAAACAACCATTAATTGAAAAAACATTACTATCCTAATTAAATTTTGTATGATTAACAAATATTAACAAACTCACCCGTGAACATTTTAGATAAAGAAACCATATAAACCATTGGCATTCCTTGGTCAATACTAATCAACAAGGACTTTGATGATGATGTCCAAACATAAATCTTAAGCCCTTTAGCAATTGCCAATTTTTCTTCACCATTATTCTACATAAATATATTATTATGAAAAATGAAAGCTAATTTAAAGATTAAATTATTATATCACTTGTCACCACAAAGAGAACACATACATAATTATTGCACCATTTAATTATTGAAGGAATTCGATTATCAGAATTGAAAAGTTCAACTTTCAATATAATAGAAATTTCTTCATCTTCCTTTTTTATTGGACTTTTTGATTTATCAATCATAACCCGCCATAAATATACAGAGCCATCATCACTTCCAGTAATAAGACTTGATGCATCTTTTTATTTTTATTAAAATAGTGAAAATATATATTTTATTAAATCTCAATTAAGAATAATTATTATAATATTATAAATAATAATTATTACTAATCAATCTCCAATCAACCAATTATACTAACATTTATTTTCATCACAAGAAATCCATTTTGACCATGAAGTTATTGTTACCCATGATTTATGTACCGAATCCAATGTATCCAAGTAACTTAAATAATCATCACTATCTTCATCTTCTTTAAATTTCCACAAAGTTACGCTTCCTCCTTTACTGCCAACTGCTATAATTGAAAATGAATCATAATTTTCAGTGATACATAATGGTGACCATGAAACTGCTATTGATTGGTTTTTTTATTTTTTTTATAAATAAGAGAAAAAATTTTAATGTTAATCAATTTTTGATGAACAAAAATTCCTTTAAACAATAAAAATTCTATTGTATAACTTTAATTACAACCTACAAATTGATTGTAATTGATTAATAATAACTTCATCAGCTATATCTTTGACATCTTTATCGGTATAACATGATATTATTTTTGGTGATAAATTTTCTATCTGTAATAAAGGATCAAAGAAAATGAAAATTATTATTTTAAATAAATAAATAAATAAACAAATATAAATCAAAAATTACCTCCTTCCATTCATTCCTAACAGGGTTAGATATTGACCCATAAATTGAAACATGAAATTTCGTTGTGATTGCAATAAATAAACAACTACTTCAAATTCAATATTTGCATTAATAAAAATATATTTTAATATTAATTCTTTATATAAAAATCAAAAATAATTTTTTCACCTTTTTAATTTACAACATCCTGCTGGTGACCAGGCTAAACATCTAAACATTTCATTCATCTCCTTATTACAAAAATCTGTTGATTCTATCCTCCAAAAAAAAAATTTTTAATTGATAATATAATAAACTTCTCATATATCTATGTTGTATCACGTGATTAAACCAATACCTAAATTCATAATTGGATTCAAATCTTTTGAGTCATTACATGAAATAAGAGCACTTCGAATCAAGCTTCCATTTTTATTATTTTCGTCATTTTTGTTATTATTAAATTCGCCATCTCTTCCTTTAAAGCTTGGGGTCTTTTTTTAAAAAAAAAAGATCCCAAATATTCTATTATTATCATTTAAAAAGAAAAGTCATGTGATTTTAAAAATAAATTACATAGAGGTATATTCCATTAGGTGCCACAATTGAAATCTGATTATCGTCAGACCACTGTAGGCATTTTGGAAAAATTGGTCGTGTTTTCAAATCAGCGTTGTTCAAGTCCATCAAACTACAAAAATTAATTATTTTTTGAAAGGAAAAAAATTTTATTATTTGGTGCTACTATTTTATGATCGACATAATGCATGTGATTTTTTTCATTCGCCTGTGAATTTAATTTCCAACAATATTACCACGTGATCGTACAACAAATCAGAATGATTAAAAATAAAAATGCTTCAATTTTGAACCATAATAACTCTACAAATTTTTATGATAATGAAAAAAGCAAACCGATTGAAATGGACCGTAGGTCTTTAGCTTTAATTCTATCAGTTAACTTTTTTTCTAAACTTCCTAATTTGGAAGTTATTGGCTTTCAAAGATCGTCAATTTTAGTGTCGTCTTTAGATGACGTGCACCATAGAAGACCTTCGTGTTATATACATATTAAAATTCGTTTGAATTATAACTTTAAATTAAGAGTTTTTTTATGTATTTTCTTTTTGCATGATGTACAAATATATGTATTCGAATTTATTTATTTAAAATTTGTGATCTTACATATCCTTTGATACATAATAGTAAAGCTTTATATTAATATAATACTTTCCCATTATTGAAGCAATAAAATATGCATATTTGTATATACAGTTCACTATCTCTATAACAAAATCTCTAAAACAAACTTTACTTTTTTTTATAATAATAATTAATTTTTCCTTATAATCTTAGTAAACACAAAAAAAAAATCACATATAGAGATGGAAGGTTAGTTATAGAGAGAGTGAACTGTAGTAATTGAGTAAGTGCAAACTATTATGAAAATTTTTAAAGCAGGTTGTTAATAAAACCAAAAATAATCTGACCCTCAAAGTCAAATTTTGTCTTATGTAAAATTTTGTTTGACGCGTCCAATTGCAAGTATAAGTAGAAATAAATGCCCAAATATCACATTATTATGAATATTTGCAGATTTTTGATCATTTAGGTATGTCTTTTATAGTAAAATAATTTATTTTAAAAATAAATACAATAATGATTAAATTAAAAGGTGTTTTATCTCTGACTTTATTCATTTAATTATTTATTTATTATAAATATAAGTTAAATAAAAGATAAATTTATATACATAAATAAATAATAAATACAACTATTGATAAAACGTTCGTTAGAATATTTTGCAAGCTTCATAGATCTTGTCCTTAACACTTATACAAACTATTGAATAATTGATAAGGTGTTCGTTAGTATATTTTGTTCATAGATCTTGTGCTTAACGCTTATTTCGATCACTAATAGATACTTTTCGAATATCCATATATTTGTAATATTTTCAAGTAATACTTTCAAATATTCGAACACTTTTGAATATCCGTAACAGGTACGAGTGTCATAATACTTTTGAATATTGTAATACTTAAATAAAAATGTCTTCATGATGAAAAAGAAACAAATTCTAATGTTCATTACTAACGATAAATATGTAGACCAACAAATAAAAAATACAAAACTTTGACGAAACATGGAGGTCCTAGAGAAGGTTATATTTTGTTGAAGAAGGAGATGAACAAATTTGCCAAGTAAACGTATCTTTTTCTCTAGAACATCCGAATGAGTTATGTGACAAAATATTACTAAATGTATCAAGCATTAGTAATTCAATAAACCATTTATTAAAATATCACAATATACTTCCAGCCACGGAACAACAAAAAGTATGTTTATTTCATTCTAACAATCAGGATCTGAGATACAAACAAATATCAGGGAATGGTACAGAAAAAAAGAGCAAGACAAAATTAACCAAGTCTTGATTAATTTTATTGTTGACGATATTCAACCGTTTTAACATTTTAGAAAATAAATTTTTAGACGACCAACTGATCGAATTTGCATATCAAAATACCAATCAATTGATTCTGCTGATGTTGAATATGATTCTTTGACGTGTGACTTCTGGACTTCTAGGGGACGCCATGTATAGTTGTTTGCCATATGTTTCTGGAGGAAAAGTGACTTATGGAAATAATTACGGTTTCTTGATATTCTTTATAAAATAACTATGTATTAATATGCCATTTAACTTAAAGAGTTATAGTAATTACGGAGATAATTTTGGCAACTATTAAAGTTAATTATAGCAGCCATAAAAACTAATTATGGCACTACAGGTATGATGATTACTAAGAAGGGCGATTATGACGAACACCATGGATACATTAGAGTCGCTTGTAGCCTTTTGTCTGAAGACTTTAAGTTTAATGAAATCTTGCTAGCTTTTCAACATGTTCCTTATACTCATACAGCAGAGAAATTACAAGAGGTTACACTTTAATGGAATCTTGAAAACAAAGTATTCGCTTTGACAACTGACAATGCTGGTAATATGATCAAAGCCGCCAGACTTCTTAATTATGATCTAAATATACCATATTTTGTTCATGCATTACAATTAATTTTAAGTAAGGCATTAAAAATTAATATAAACATCCAGGCATTTGTTTTAAGATAAAAGATTAATTAACTTATTCACTACTCCTGAACAAAAAGAAAATCTTGGAAGAATGCAAAAGGGTTAAGTTATCCAAATATTCATATAATGATTCAAGATATTAGTACTAGGTGGAATTCATCGTTTCATTCATGGAGAGGGTTGATTGATTTACAAAGTGCAATTGCTCATTTACCATTTAAACTTCTAGCTGATTTAAATAATGACAATAAAAAAGACTTGAAGTGGATTTTGATGAATGAGCTTGTGCAAATCTTTGGTGGGTTTGAAGAACTCATTAGAAAATTCAGTGGAAAGTCATATGTTAACTTTCTGTCGTATATCCGTTAATTAACTCACTAAAGGAGAAATTGAGGTCGATATTAAATTCTGTTGATGAATACTGCAATTTCAATTGATCAAATGACGAAAGTTCAGAACCGATGTTAATGGATGAAGAAGATGATGAAGAAGAAACAGATAAATTAATTACAGCCGTACCTGGATCCAAAGGAGATTTTAATATAACTAGAACAATAGATACAAATGACTTAAACTCACATTTTAAAACTTTATTATTATCAATTGATAAATATTGAGATTTGCCATCGATTTATCATTTATTTCATCAACACTTGATCCAAGATTAAAGAAACTTAATCATTTGAGCTCTATGCAAAAATAATCACAAGAAACAATTCGATCACAAAATAGCTCACAAAATTTAAACGAAAACAATCAGTCAATAGAAGAAACATTGATTTTTAATCAAAATTTTCAATTTGATGATGATGACAATTGTGGAAAGAAAATTTCCTCCATTAGAATATATTAATATATCTACATCTGTTCCGCAGAACAGTTATTTGGCAATACTGAATACCATATTACATCAAAGCGTAACAAATTTAAACATGAATTATAATAGGATTATCAAATATAATATTTGGTTTTTAAAAATTTATAAAATAAAAAAGAATTAATGTTTTTTACGGATATTCGAAAATATCCGTTATTAGTATTATGAGTATTCGAAAACATACAGATATCCGAATAAGTTAGAGAGATACGACTAAGAACATTATTCTTATGAAATCTGATCTGGCATAAACGAAACGGTTATTTCTCGTTAGAAGGCGCAGAAGACAAACGACTATTGAGATTTCAGAAAACTACGGCAACCTCATAATTTTAACAAGGTAGTAACTCGCACTTTGTTGTTGGGCTGGGTAAAAATCGCGGTTATTCTTCTTTCAATTTGCTGACCTGTCTAATTGGTCAGGTCTATCCAGTGCTCTTTAATTTAATTTAGTTTTATAAAAGTGGGCAAAAAACGAGGAAGTGGAGATTTATGAGCAGGGGAATGATGATAATATAGGAAGATAGTAAGTGTATTATGATTAGCCAAACAAGATGGTAAAATTACATTGTTGAAGTAGTAAAAGATTGCAAATATATTAAACGTTTGCTTTGATAAATAAATAAAATATAAGAAATTAAATTACAAGATGAAAATTAAAAAAAAAAAAGAATTAAAATGTTTAAATAATCTTTAAAAGAAATTAATAATAATAATAATAATAATAATATGCGCTATTACTTAATGTTAATGATTCTTAATGATTCGCATATTAAAATGTTTCAAAATTTTATATATATGCAAAATGTAAAAATATAATAATAAAAATCATACACATATATATCTCTACTAAAATCACCTAAATATATTTTTTTTCCCAAATTTAACATTTCAAATCTTGAATTTGTCTTAATAAAAATGCTTTCTCATCATTGAATTGTTCATCATCTACAAAAGAACAGTTTTAAGATTAGTAATTTTCTGGGAATATAATATTAATGATGAAGACTAACCATTTCTGTCATTATGAAAATTGCTCAGAAATTGAATTAATTTGTCTTTATTTTTTGTTAATATATCTAAAACTGGTTTACTTTTATTTGGATTGGCCACAAATATCTAATTCATTATTAAATAAATAAATAAATAGTTTAATAATTATAATAAACATTTTTTGATTCCATATTTTAATAAATACCTTGAAAACATGAAAAGCTTCAAATTGAATATTACGACTTGCATTTCTTAATAGATTCATTACTAATTTCAAATTTTCTGAAACAGCAATGTATCGTGTCATAATATTGAAGTTACATCGGTCCAACAAAATTTCACCAAGTAACTATCACAATGATAAAGTTAATTACTACAATTTGAATTTTTTTAATAAAAAGTCAATTACATTAATAAACAAAATATTTCTTACTTTTAGAGATTGTCTTTTTGTCACATAATTTGTAGAATTTAACAATTTTGTGTAAGAGTCAAAAAACTATATGCATATATGCATATGTGGTATAAATAGCATATAATGAAAAATAATTAATACACTTCTAATTAAGATAATTTATAATTACAATTATATTATTACCTGATCATAATTTGAGTCCAAAAATTCAGCAACTAATGGTTTATGTTGTGTTAATATTCCCTATAAATATACAAAAATATGTGTGTGTGTTACCTACAATAAATTTTTTTTCTAAAATAAAAATAAAAATACCTTGAATGTAGCAAATGCATCACTTGCAATATCAAAAGTACTTGTTTCTATATACTCAAAGAAATTATAAAATTGTGGAGAATATAAAATAATTTTTGTTAAGGACTCATGTCGGAGACATTCTCGAAGAATCATTCCACAATTAAGAGCTATTTCTGGATTTTCATATCTTTTGAAGAAAATTATTTTATAAGTAAATTTTAGATCAATTAATTATTCAATGAATAAATATAAATGTGTAAAAGATTAATTAACAAGTTACCCTTTAAGTAGAACAAAAAGTATGTCTTCTCGATTTCTTAAATAATCAACAGTTGGCGTTAAAGAACCAATTTGTCTTTTTAAAAGATTATTAAAAACTTGTGACACATCTTTCTTTGCCTATAATATCAATCATTAATATTTATCCAATTAATATGATTGTGCACATATATATAATTACCTCAAATTCAAATCTCCAAATATTTAATACTAATAAGTGTAAAATATCATTATTATAAACTTCTTGGGCCAATTGCGCAACCGTTTCTGGAACAGGTTCATTCTCTAAATTCATATAATTATATAATATTTATTATAAAGTATGAAAGAAACAATTCATTTAAAATAATAAATAATAATTATTAATTACCACCGTCACCATAAAGAATTGTTTTCATGGTTGTTAGATTTTTCGATATGTCTTCACTTGCCTACGAAATGACATTGGGTGAGGACTACTCTTCTTTTATCTTTATCACTATACAGGTTATTAAGAGATCAGGAACCACTCTTTTGAGAGTAGGATCATAATAAACTTTCTCTCGTTTTTTTTTCAATTTATTTATTTGAAATTTTATATTTTTTTTGAACATTCCACCAAAATAATTACTTTATGTCCAACATTTTTCATATTTTTTAGAAGGGGGAGAAGATATAGTTATAATTACTTATAATTATATGATGTAATTCTAACCTTTTTTTTATCCAGACCATCCAATCTATTAATTGCATCTTTAACATTTCTTACTAATTCATGCGGCGTTTTTGGTTTTGACTTGAATAAAAAACTCATAGTTGTAGATAAAAAAAATTATGAAAAAATTTTTGATAATAATAAAATATGATGACGACTAAAAACCCCCGTAAAAAAAATTTATTTATTTATTTTTATTTATCCTAAAAACAACATGCCATTGAGTGCTGAGCATTGATGTTTACATCTCCCAATTATTTAATATTAATATAGATGTGATACATTCCATTCCATATCAGATATTAATTAGTATTAATATTAATCGGTAATAAATAATATCCATAATGTTTTGTTGTCGCACCAAGTCGTCCCTGCGTGTGTGCATCTCGCTACATGTTAGTAATTTTGTCCTACATAGCTTGTCATTTAGTTTAAGAATCAATAAAATTTCAACAACTATGAAAATTGTTATTATTACTAATATCGTTTTAGTATTAGTGACGATCATTTATTAAAAGAGAGGCAATTGCAGCAAAACTTTCTTTGCTTTACAAGTCGCTACTGTGCAATCATGGATTTCCAATAATTCCAATTTTTATGTGATTCTATCCTTAAATTTTAAAATGATGAATAATAGTAATAAAGAAAATTACAACAGGTATTGCTTAAGATAGGAAAAACAACCTTTTCACTAACTCAAGGTAATGATTATGTTTTTACAAGTCAATAAATAAGAAGAATGGTCAACTTCGGGTATGATTTATAAGGTCTAGTTTTATTAAATTATATTTATTACGAATTTTACTAGTAACAATAATTTCCTTAAGATTAATATGATTACAGGAGTGCTTGATATGTTTTCCAACTATATGACTAACTCTGGTGTTTATAATGTCACCAATCAGACTCTATAGATGTGGTCAAAATTTATTGAATTAAGTTATGTCACAATTAAAAATCCTAAAAAAATTGAATCATTTATGCAACTGATGTAAATTCAAATTTTATTTGTTCAATGAAATAAATATTTTCATTTTTTTTGAGTTCTTTTGCTTCTTTATTGGTTGCGATTTTTCATTCTTGGTAAATTTCATAAGTAATTTTCTCTTTTTTGAATAACTTTGGTATCATTTATTTTAAGTATATCTCTTTAAATAAAGTAAAATGTGCCAAAGTTGGCGTTCTTATTCAATTGGCAATTACTACAACAATAATAAGCCTTTCAAAAAAGATAAGTATGAAAATGATATTATGAATTAAAGAGTCACCAACTATCACTTAAAAATTGTTAGGTTGAATAACAACAGAACTTTATTATACTATTCATAAAGACCTGATACTTTTAAAAAGGGTAAGAAATTTACTTGTGATCAATGTCAAAAGCTCTGGAATATGAAAGGTAAAATCATAACATTATGTTAAATACTCAAAAAAGAAGAAAATTTCAAAGACATTAATTGAAAGTCAAAAACAAAATTAGTTGACAAAATATTTTCTGAAATTAAAGCAAATGAACAGGCGAATGAAAATTCTACAAAATAACACTTTAGAGTTAATAGAATGAACAGTGTTTGTAGTCCCTTGATGAGAGAATACCAAGAGCCATAGCCAATTTGAAAAATAAAGTTCAAGAATTAGGAGTGAATGTCCAGATTTTATTGAAAGAGTAGAATAAATAAGGATAAAGTTAGAACCAAGAAATAACACTCTAAAGAAATAATCGGAAGAAAATTTAAAAATAGAAGACTAAGGATTTAGTTAATAGTAGATGTCACTTTACATCAATTGTAATATCCATATTACCATTGTTGGTATTTTTGGACATTTTAATTTGTAATTAAAATTTTTAGAGAACATTCCTGAAGATAGTAGTGATGTTACTGAGGAGAAGGAGGGGAGAATGAGAACGAGAATGAGAATGAGGAGCTAGATGTCAAGGCTAATATAAAATGGGGTTCTAGTATGCAATTTTCCAACTTGGGAAGTTAGTATTAAGTGTATTAAACAATGGGCACAACAATAAGGATTTGAGAAATTTGAAAATGACATGAAAACAAATTCTTGTTTGAAGGTACCAATAAAAAAAGAAGTGGAATCAACCAAACTAAATCACAAAGAACAAACTGTAATTGTCATTTAAACCTTTTGCATTCTATCAAAATAATCTAAATTGTCTCATATATATCACTACATTTTATAATAAACATTTTGGACACTTGATCCAAAAAAAGCATTTACCAAATGTATGCTAGATGATGTTGAATGGGTGTGTGTGGATGGACATTTAAACCCCTGTAATAAATTAAAATACATGTGTATTTCTTATAAAAATTAAAAAATAAATACACCATGCATACAAAATTAATTCTGCATTATTGTGCAGGTGTGCAGAAAACAAAGACCCTTAATTTACTTTTAACAAATAAATATTAAAAATAAAATATCCTTCAATAAGTTATTAACATAAGACAGAAAAGAATTAGTATGTAAAATTCATAATGAAATGGTTAATATTGCTCATTCTGTTTTTATAACTGTTTCTGATCTTGAAAATAGAAAAGATTATTTTTTACAATTAGTCAAAGAAAACAAAAACTATTAGAAAAGAAAGATAAAAGAATGTGCAAAGAAAGGTTTATTTAAGACTTGAATTAATGAATGTAATTCATATGGCAAACCAAGAGAATGCAATAATTTTAAAACAACAAGATGCTGTGATAGTAAACCTTGGACCTACCAATTGTCCCAATTAGTGTTGATTAATTAGAACGAACTTACTACAGAAGTCATGTGATGCGCTAAATATTACATCACGATCAACGATTATCTTTTTATATATATTAATATGTTATTGTAACGAGTGTAACGAGCATAGTTAAAAATCCTTTTATGGATAGATCGGCATTACACACATTTAATGGACATTTCAAAAAAAGATCAGCAATTTATACATGGAGAATATTGTAAAATCGAAAAAGCATAGTGCCAATCACAAGTACACACCCAATAAAAATACCCTTTCCTAAAAAGGATATTCAGCAAGATAGAGAAATTTTTTGAAAATTTAAAATTTAATCATCATTTTGTTTATCTTAAGTAAAGCTATAAATTAACAATTGGGTTTTTCAATTCAGTTGCATAGAACATGAGATATATCATTTTAAAGTTCAAGCTAAATTACTATGTTTACTATGTTTGAAAGGCCAAATTGAAACATTGTGCTAAACTCATATGCAAATAGTTGCCTAATTCAATCATTAATTGGATCATTAAATGAAACCAATTGCCCACAGTTTAAAGGACTAGCATCAAAAAAGAAAGAAGAATTACTGTTGATTTTGCAACAAGTTAAAGATATCCATGATGGAGCTGACAATGATGAAGTAGAAGAGATGATTTGAAAGGAAACTGTAGAAGGCAATTGAATCATGTGTTGTGTAATAATAAGATAAGCATCATCCAATGTATAATTAATTTATTGATTATTTAATTCTAAATTTTTTGCCAACCAGAAATTTGATCCTTTTTCCATTATCATTAAAAATTTAATTGATCATGATTTATTTCTCTTTAAAATTATTTTTAGATGTAGCATTCACTTAAACCAAAGAAATTTATAAATGTCTATCTAATAATAATAATAATAAAATTTTCTCTTTACATAATAGATAATAACAACTTCATTTTGTCCACCATCAACAAATCCTTAATATCAGCTAACAACAACAACATTGTATTATTATTAATTATATTAATCACTTTTGTTCATAATAGACAAAAAAATTTTGATTTTTACATGTATGTATAGTTTTTCTTGTAAACATTTAATTAGAGTTTCTATTCATAATACAAATTTTTATTTTATTATTTTAAATTATCATTTATTGTCGATCAATTTTTGCATTAGCCACGTCGATCATTACATATTTGGAAATTCCAAATTTAGAAACCAAATTATACCATTATTATTAATTTCAGGCATTGAATTATTGTAAACTTAAATAAAGCTCAATTGTTCCTTTTTATGGTACCAGAAAATGGAAATTATGCAATTGTTTGTTCTTAGAGGGAAATGTAAGAGATTATATACATCAAAAGATAGAATTACAATTTTTAGAAGTTTATGTGATACATTATATTTTATACATGAAAAAGATTTAGTCCATTGTGATTTAATAGTGGTAATATATTATTGCAAAGAAGTGGTTGTTATATCACAGATTTGAGATTATGTGTGTATAGACCAGTTGATGAAAAATTATCAAATAAAACTTATGGAATTATATCATATATTGCACCAGAACTATTTAGAAGAAAAAAATACACAAAAGAAACTGATATTTATAGTGTTGGAATGTTATTATTTGCAGGACGCCCACCATTTGATGATATAGCACATGATTTTTGTTTGCAATCAAGAATATATGAAGGTTTACGTCTACCAACATCACCAGGAATACCTGATGAATATGTACAAATGATACAAATGTTTTGGGATGCGGATCCAGCAAAGAGACCAAATATTAGAGAGCTTTTGAATTTTCTCATAATAAATTTAAAGCAGAGAGTCCTAACGAAAGTAGTAGTAATATTGGTAGTGGTGGTGGTAATAATAATAATAGTAACAATAGTGATCCACAACGAATTCACCAATCACATCCATTAACATATCATACAAGTAGAATATTAAATGATGAATTGCTAAATTGAATTTAAGTAATGATAGCTTATTAAATTATGATAAGTAGTTGATAGGTTAAAGTTGGATAATCATATGAATTGTTGATGGGTATATAATTAAAGCTCCGAATGAATCAATGAAATTCGAATCGAATCGAATCACCTAATTTTTGATTCGAATTGTACCCTGATCCGATTCAAACTGATTCGAATATTAAATATATAATTTGATTCAAATTGATTCGAATATATAATTTGATTCGAACTGATTCAACTCAACTCGATCCGAACTAGTGGTGATAGCCGAAACTACGCTTAGTGGGCTGAAATTGCCAAATTAATTGGCCTAAACTTTGACGAAACTAATTTTAATGGTTGAAATTGGGAGTTTTTTAAAATAAAGTAGATTGATTAGATACTTATTATATGTATTGGACGAAATTACCTTTTTTCAAAAACAGTTTCGGCTACCATCATTAAATAATATCTTTTATCAATTAAAAAATTTAAAATATACACAATCTTGGTTTTAGGTAGTTATAGTTAGAAAATTTTTTCCAAAAATCCGTTATTATTATATTCAAACCTTGTCGCAGCGGATTATAATAATAATTAAATATTATCATAACGGATTTTTAAAATTTTTGCTTCACATATAAAAACATATTAATATAAAATTTCTCTTATTATTATGTGTCCCGTTTATCCGTTGTGACTATATCAAGAAATCAGTTATAATGAGAAGAATTTTATTATTTTTATTATAATTATTAAACAACCTCAATCTGTTATTATCCATTAAATTGAGGTATAATACATTGAGATTCACCGTATTTTATTAAGAAAAATTTAGGAATCCGGTTTGATTCGAATTAACTACAGAACGAATCGAATCAAATCAAATCATTCTAAAATTCGATCCGATTCGATTCGATTCGAAGCCTTATTATTATATATTCACCATGGAAATTAGATTTTGTATGCCATTCACACAAATGCGTAAAATTTTTAATTTTTTTTAAATAAATTTTAGTTCCTTAAACTTTGTTAGTCATGATGCATTTACAGCATTCTATGAATGGAATTGATCATTCAAGTGATTCTAAAAGCGAAAGCAAATTTATACTAACCGTCACATTTTAGAGAACATTCCTGAAGATAGTGATGTGGGAAAGGGAGGAGGAGGGGGAAGAATGAGAGCGATGGGCTAGATGTCAAAGCTAATATAAAATTGTATCCTAGCAAGAATTTCCCAACTTGGAAGGTTAGCAAGTATATATATAATTTTAATAAACTAGGAGTTATAATATATCATATTAAAATTTCAAATGTGGTTAAATATAAAATCTTTAATGATGTATAAAGCAGATTTGACATAAAAACCATGTTCCCTTTCAACAATATCTTGTTTATCCATTTTCGACTAAACAAAATTTGAAAAAAAAGAATTATTATTATAGCATTAGTAATTGCACCGGAAAAAACAAGTTTTTTTTCCAAAAGATTTCATAATTATTAACATTAAATATTTTATGTCATAGTTAAAAAGTGTTTCATAAAAAAAAAATTAAAATTGGAAGTTTTATAATATTTATTTTTCATGAACTGTAAAGGTAATTTGTGTTTTCAAGCGTTCGAATTACATTCATATTTCAAAAATACAGTGCAACAACATTAGAAAAATACAATCATAATATTTTATTGTGTTAAATAGTATAAAGGAGGCAACATGCTCAAGTCTACCGGAAAAGAAGGAAAAGAAGATATGAATATTATTATGTTTCTACATAGTGATGTGTTATTAGTCAATGATGAGTGCGTCTAATGAGCGAGTGTCATATCAACAAAATGATTTTTAATATTTTTAATATTCTTTCATTGGGCTAAGAGAATTGAAATAATATATTGGTAAGTGTAAAAGGCCGTCGTGCAGAATTCAACACAAACTTTCGACATTCTAAAACAGTTAAATATACTATTGATCAATCAATGTTAAGTATATGATCTCTTGGGTGCGAAACATTCCAAAAAATTCAATAATTATTCTTTAAACGAGTGTTACCAATAAGATTCCTCTCTTCTTAAATGCATTTCCTCGCTTCTGATGGGGAGCACTTATGGAAGGAGGGTTGACAGTATATTTATGGTTATTGGAGTCATTGGAAGTCATTGGAGCCAACAAATCAAAGGAAAACAACACAAAAGATTAAAATTTTGTCACAAAAAGCAAGTACAATGGCAGTGAAGGAAATAAATCAAGAAATTGATGGTGTAATCGACTGTTGTAATCTTGATATGATAGTAATAATAGTTGGATATGTGGTTTGATCTTAAGTTTGACATTAACCATTAGGTTGTGTGTATATATGTTCTCGACGAAGAACCAGACAATGTGAACAATAATAATATGGATATATTTATGTGAATAACCTAATGTTTTCAAAGGTAAAAAATTGAGTGATGTTAAAATAGAAGATTCCACAAGTAGCAGTATAGACAAATAATTTCGGCCATATAACCAGCAATTTGTACTCTGTATCAATAATAAAAAGTGAACAATTGTTTGGTTTTTTATCAGCAAACAAGAATCAGATCGGATATGCACATTGCGAGCAAATATTTGAGGCGATTGCATATAAAATTTGCGAACAGGAAACATGTTGTCTGTGAAAGTAGAATGATTTCCTAAGCATAAGAATAAAACTTTCGACTAATAGGTGAGATTAGTACATGATGAATATAAAAAAATTTTACCCTTCGTGAATTCATTAGTTTTACCAAATCCCCTTTTTTGAATAACCATTAATATCAAGGTCAGGGGATTAAATGACCCTAAGGATGTGCTTGATATTGAAAAGGAAATTAAATTTTATTTTGTTATTCCATCAGAATGTTTCGCTACAATAAAAAAGCGTCCATTTCACACAAAACTATAACCCTGAATTAAAGAGAATAAAGTAAAATAATATGTTTCCAAGGTTAATTTGAAGTCCAATTATAAATAACTGATGAAAAAAAAAAGACATTCTCTTTTTTATTCTATAGCCAAAAAATACTTTTATTATCATATAATAACCCTTGTGTTTTGTTACTAAATATTCAGTATCTGGATAATGTAATTTCTTCCATTATTGCAGATTTTTTAACAATAATGTTTTAATGTTACCACCACAATACTTTACTAAACCTGGCAGTAAGCTTTGAACAGCTCAAGTCAAACTGAATATTTTTAGTTTTAATTTTAAAAAAGTTAACCTAAAAATTAAAATTGTTTGATAACGATATCACCCAATTGTAAATAGATTCTAAAAAAATCATATAACATATAATGATATTATTTCTCAGTATACTCTCTAATTAATATATCTAGTATTAATTGACAAATTATTGTCTCTTAAATATTAATATAGTAATATTTCTACTTGTCAAATCAATTATCACCTTTGTAATAATTCTACTTACCTCTTGTAATAATTACACCTGTGATTATTTTTTTATATTTATTTTGATCTGAAGATTTATTATTATCATTATTGTTCTTTTATACAAAACTGATAGGTGCTTATTAACAATTCTAAATCACTTGATATTTCAACTATTCTAAACATGTTAATGACCTAGACACAGGAAAAAGATATGATTTAGAGGGTGATCGTGAAAATGAACAAAAGGAAAAAAGAGAAATGCAAGCAAGCAATCAACAGTTAGAGAATAATATTGCTAAACTGAGACAGCAAATTGGAACATTTAACTGAGAATAATATCCTCCAGTCAAAATACTACTCGGAAACTTCAGAATAAAGTCAAAGAATTAGAAATGCAAAAATTTGCATTAACTAAACAGGCGAAATTTATTCAAGAATTAACTGAAAAAAAGATCGCTTATTTCAATATATCTTATATGAGTAATTAACAAAAATAAATATCATATCAACTAATTTTGCCAAATAATGATAAACCTTTTTTTTATTAAAGAATGAGATGTGACTTTTTGGGATCATTGGAAATCGAAATCTTTATTAAAAATATATCGAAGACATTTTTGATTTCATTGGCTAAGATTTGTGGTGATCATCGCCCAAAAATCATTGGGAAAATTTTTTTTTTATCGCTTTCCATTATCAACATATTATCTTAGTTGTGTTAGTCCATTTCCTATTTTTAAATAAATATAAATATAGATATAAAATAATCTAAATATACAAAACAAATTCTTAAACATATTGTGTAATCTTTTTCATTCTACATTACCTTCTTTATTCTACATTACCTTCTTTACTTTTAATATTTAATTTCACCTGTCTGTATATAATACTTACTATTATTATAATAAAAGTCTGACAATGTGTATTGTTAATGCTCACTCGTGTCCAGAATAATATTTAAGGAATAAAGTTTATTTTTTTTTTTGTAAATGTGTTTTATAATATATGGTAAGAAGCTCTTACTGAAATCCCATCGATGATCACCTTGGCCTTTTTGCCAAGCCATTTAAATAAAGAAAGTATATTCGAGCAAAATGTCTCTGTTTTACGATAATTTTTATTTGGTGAAGAAATTACTTTGATAGTTGATGATAAAGCAATTCTTCAAATTGGAGACGCTTTTGAAAAAAGTGATAAAGACAATGCAATTCATAAAGAGGAAGTGAAAATCAACTAAATCACAAAAAAGATAAAACTAAAAGAAGCGTTTTTTAAATCACGTTTACTATAACCAGTTTAATACTAAATCAATTGAAAATATAACATTTACGCAACATAAAAAGATCAGCAATCACAATGTGATAAACGAATGTTAGTTACTAAATTTGGGCAGAAATCACGTGAAAACATACAATTCTTTTTGTTGTGACAAAATATGCTTATGCTATAACCTAATTTTGTGTTTTTCATGTGATTTGTTTTTGTGGAGTTTTGTGGTTTATCTTGAAAAAGCTATTTGAAATGAAAAATCCTTTTAAAAATGCATTATATATTTTTTAAAGAGTGTTGAGGTAAAGTTTGCCAGATATTTGTTGTTTGCCTCATATTTATATACGATATGTTTAATACCGCCAGCATAACTGTCTATTGATTCATATCAGCAGATGAATATTAAACATTGTTCATTTGAACCGCATTCGTATTCTTCCATGTATTATCAACCTCGGGAATAAACAAAGCAACGTTAGAATTTCTATTTCTATTTTCCTTCCATGAATAAGCAACTCGTTAAAAAGAAGGGAAACGCGTCAAAAAATTTATCGCTTATTGCTAACAGAATATAGTGCTTGAATCTTTATAATGTTCATTATGAAAAGGTACCTTTTCAATATAAATGAGGACAACGTCGAAAATAATGATTTTGAGAATGGCATTACAACCAAACCTCCTTTCGATAGATCACAATTGAATTCGCGTTACAACGAATTTTTAAAAATTCTTGCTCCACATATAAAATGCAATTAGTACTTTCGGTGTAACGAATTTTAAAATGAAATTTTCTTATATGTTCCATAGATTCGTTGAAACAAGGTTTGACTGTATTATATGTAACTCTTTGGGTAGGACAGACTTTGCATAGTAAAATCACCAAATTCCTTAAAAAGTACCTATCATTCTCCTTCCTGAAAAGCTCTCAATTAACCGCAAATTATATGGTTTGTCGTACTATCTTAATCCAAAAAAAGGAAATTCTGTGATATAATTTATTTTTGAAAACTTGTGATGGCATAACTTTATTTTTTCTTACACACAGAAAATCATTTCTTTTATTTGCTTGGCAATTTTTTTTGTAAATAAAAAAATAGTGTACAACCCAAAAAAAATAGTTTGTACAACATTGAAATTAATCAATCTTTAAAAATTAAAAAATTTTCTTTACCATCGTCATATTATATCATCAACAAAAAGAGATCACATTAATAATACAAAATGGATAATAATTATAATTATAAACTAATAAACGATATACTTGATTCTTCTGATAATAATCTATTAGAAATTGAAAATAATATTTTAGAAGAATTAGATAAAATTTTTTATTCTGATTTTATTTTAAATCCGTCATTTGCGACAATTTCTAACTCTCCCTCTCCTTCCCCTTCCCCTTCCCCCGCTACCTTTAATTTTACCCATTTTGAACAAGAAAAAGAAAAACAAAATAATAATAATAATAACATTATTCAATTCACTACCAGCATGTCGTCGTCGTCGTCAATAACCTCATCACCACCGCTACCTGCTGTAGTAGGGCCCCAAGTTGATAGTTTTGATTTACCCTCAAGCGCGAAAAAGGATGTTTATAATAATGACAATGATAAAAATAACGATAAAAATGGTGGAAATGATAAATATGATGAAAAAACTAATAATAACAATAATGATAAATTTGCTAATCATGGAAACGTTAATAATGATAGTGGCAATAGAGAAAATACTATTGATAGTAATAACGATATTGTTAAAGGCTTTAAGGTATGTTTTATATATATGTTTCATTATTAAATTAAAAAAGCATAATATTTGATTTTTCATTTTTTTATTTATTTATGGGCCTATGAATCACCATTCAAAAAAAAAACAAGTCACCAAAAGGCATAACAAACGCGTGTACTATTGTTGCTCTTAATAACAACAATCATAATGCTATCTCTAGTTCATCAAATAACAGTTGTCATAATAACGAAATGACTAATAATTATGAAGCTTCATTCTCATCTTCATTCTCCACATCAACAATGTTAGTAGATCAACAAGGTCAAGATGAAGTTGATCAATTGGATAACGGTAGTCATGATAAAGTTAATAATAATGATCACAACAACGATGATGACATTAACATTAATCATAGAAATAAATCAAGATATTGGGATGATAACCAAATATCTCTTCTCTTAAATCAAATTAAATCCAACTACCAACTATATCAAGAAGAAAAAACAGCATTTTGCCAGCGTTTGCATGATAAAGTTATAGAAACAAGAAGTCCGAAAGCAATAGCAGAAAAAATTCGAACATTGATTAAAACTTTTAATGAAGATAAAAATCCTAATTGGAAATGGTATAAAGACGTTGAAGAGATAATTTATGGTGGTGGCAAAAAAGTTAAAGATTCATCATCATTGATTGATGATATTAATAATGATGATGAATCAGATATGATAATTGATGGTGGTAGCGGTAATGAATTTGTAGTTGTAATGGAACCAGAAAAAGAAGTATTCGCGCAACAAAATGTTATGGATGTTGGTAGTATTCAAGAATATGAAAAAGTGGAAGTATTAAGAGATGATGGAATGATCAACAGTAATGATAATAGTAATGCCAATATAAATAATAATAGAAACAATCATAGTAATGATAACAGTAATGATAATAGTAAGACTAATAAATTTCTTGAGAACTCTAACAATAAAAGGAACAGACAAAGATTCCATGAATTACCATCGTCTTCTAATAAAAACAAACCTATTAGCAGTAAACCAAATAAACGTAGAAAAGCAGTGAACAAGTCGTCATCGTCAGTAAAAATATTGGCAAAAGCAATTAGAGAACTCGCAGTTAGCAGGGAGAAGATCTGGAATCAGAAATTAGCATTGGAAAATGATAGGAAAAACAAAGAGTTCGAATTGCAAAAACTTAAAACCGAAATAGAAAGATCTAAATTGGAGTTTCAACGTGAAGAATTGGAAATAATTCATGAGCTTAAACTTAGAGAATTGGAAGTGCGTAAAATGCAATTTGAGCAAAATAAAAACACAAATTTATGAATTTAATCTTTTTCTTTCAGTAAAAAATAAATTATTATCTTTGAATTATCGTATACTTGTGCAATCAGAAAGTTCTACTCTTCTTAACTTAAAAAACAAAGATTTACTATACTAAAAGTATATGCATGCATGTCATATATTTGATATGCATGAAGTGTAGATCGTTCTATTTTTATTTGTTATTGCCTCTTTTCCCTGATTTCTTTAACTATAAGCGTGATAACATATGATGATTTTGCATTAGTAAATTAATTGGTTGATTGATTGATTCTTTGACAAAATTAGTAAAGAAATATAAATGCCAATAAATTAATTATTCCTCTAAAAAAAATTTTCTCGAGTTAACAATTTACATTTTCCACGTTTTTGCAAATATTCTAAAAATGTAAATTAAAATAAGAAGAAAAAAAATGTGGTGGATTTTTTGTTTTATTTTTACAAAAATGGTAATATGGAACTTCGCAAAATGGAATTCATTAAATTAATTTTATTAGAAAAAGTTGAGGATTGTGTAAAAATTTAAAGAAAAATTTAAAATGAAAATACACTCATATTTATATAATAATTATTATTTTACCAATTTATATTATTATTAGTTACATTAATTACATTAGTTTACATTTGATGTATTATGATTTCATAAAAATCGCCAATTAGAAATATTTAATTTAAAATATAGATTTAATCTAATTTAAGCTGTATATTTAATTAAACTGTATATTTTATAATTAAGATTAATTTCTCATTGTTTTTCAAATTAATTTAAAAAATCACCATCTTTATTGCATATGACTTATTTGTATGTGGTGTATATTGTTATTACATAAGGAATATTTATGTTTATTTGTTGCACAAAAAAATACATTTTTCCTGAATAACAAAATTTGTAAAACTATTAATAGACATTATACTGTATACAGTATATAACATAAATAAACAAAAGAACTAAGCTTTTTTTTCGAATCGACCAAACAATCAATAATAATAAATCATCGTCAATCAATTATAAGCAATCGAGTCGAATCACATTTATGTGGGTATCATTTTGTTCAACGGGGAAATATCGGAAATTAACATTATTAGAAATATTGCTATAATTATTATTACTATAATTAATATTACTATAATTGTTATTACCATACTATATTAAAATTAGAGTATTTGTTGATGCCATTGAAAAATGTATGTAGTAGCAGTAACCGTCAATAAAGAAAAAAAAAAGGAACTATTAAAAAAAGTGAACTATTAATACTCATATAGTCCCATTTTAATGATTTCATAGTAAGAAACCTATCATGGGATATTATTTACACCAAAGATTATTGTGTGACATAATCGAATAAATATTGTGAGAAATTTTTAAATATCACATAAAATATAACTAGCAATAAACCAGTTAGAGAGATAAGCTAGTATATAATAGTCTATAATAGTATATAAATAATACACATTATATCATAATGATACTATTGAAGAATGAACGACTTTAAAATGTGTGTTTAATTTCCTCTTCATTATATCACATCCACACATTTCCAAACCAAGACAAGTATATATTTATATTTATAATAACTAAACTGATAATATAATAAGTTTTATTATAAAAATATAAATAATTTAAAAATAAAAATGATTAAAACAAATAAATAAATAAATAAATAAATAAATAAATAAAAAATATATAATCGTTTTTTAAATTTTTTTATCTGAAATTTTTTCTTTCCTCAAAAAAAAAAATCAAAAAAAAATCAAAAAATTATGAATATTTTTTTATGTAGATATAATAGTCTTAGATTCAACGATAAATTTATTATTAGAAATAATAATAATTATAAATATTATAATTTAATTGTATTCTTTATAATAATTATTAATGATTTTTTTATTAAAGTAATTAAATCAGAATTTAATGTTTATAATAATACGATAACTCACACCGAAGCAAACACCAACCTAACATATAATGTTAATAGATTAAATGTATTGCAAGGTATAAATTATGACGATGGAAGTATTTTATTAAGATTTACTAAATCGTCGGCAACACCAAAATGTAACGAAAATATTTTATTTTTAAGATTAATTTTATCAAATGGAGATATTAAAGAATTAAATATTCAATCTGATAAAATCAATTATTCAAATTTTTGTGAAAATTTAAATGTTGTCGGAAATGGTTTAGATTCAGGAAATTTTTTTAATAAATTACCTCCAAAATTAGACTTAAAATTAGACTTAAAATCACCATCATCAAAATTATCAAAATCATCATCAATAAATTCAAAAATAAGGTCAAATCAAGTATTACCACCATCATCAACATATATAATAAGAGATAGCATAGTTATTTATGGAATAACGAATAAATTAATTTTAGTAAAATACTTTTGTAATCCTCCTGATGTTAATTTAACTTGTGGTTTAATCCTTGATTGGAATGGTAATGATTTAGGGTATGAAAAATATTTGGGGAAGGAAAAATTTTAATTGATGTTTAATTATTTAACTTAATCAAAAAATACATTCGCTTTTTAATACATTCACTTTTTCTCACAATCTTTTTTCTTTTCTTGCTTCTTGAATTATTTTCTTTTAGATCAATAAAGTTTAATAATCAAAGTTGTACAGATAGTAATATTGTTGCAAATATTGATTCACAATATGGTGGATTTTTATGGGTATGTTTTATTGAAGAAAATAAACAACTTTTATGGACAAAATACGATTCCTTGTAAGTTTCATATGTATAATTTATTATATATAAGATTAATTATAAAGTAATTTTAATAAAAAAAAACAAACTTAATATTTCCTAAAGTGACGTAGTAAGTGGAAGTTCACCGATATTAGCATCTGGTGTATTACCAAATATTAATGAATTTAGTCCAAATTTTACACAAATATTTCCAACTGAAGATGGTGGATATGGAGTAGTAATGGCTAAATTTAATCGTACATCAGCAACAACCGACATCCCACCTCCATGGACAATCGATGTCACCTTCATCCCACCGTCCACATATGGGAATGAAACCGGTCCGTTTCTAATTTATTCTCAAAATGTAGAGGCAATTAAAAGATTAAATATTTATAGATGTTCAATAACCTATTATAAGTTAGGCTACAGTTGCATAATTTATGTTGAGAGAATAAGCGGAAATGTTTACATTGATATTCTTTTCGTATCATCCGGAAAATTGAAACAAAATGAGTTTAGTACAAATCTAACGAATGGATTGATAGTTTGGGATATCAAATCGTTATATTATGGAGGGTATATAATATTGACTGAACTGAATGAAATGGATCATGTTGTAATTAATGGATTGATTTTTAGTAATGATGGAACACCCTATGATGTTTGGAACTTTACCAAGAATTATCCAAGTTTAGATTATACAAGAGTAATTGGTGTGCTGCCAAATAATACTTTATGGGGTGTGGTCAATGAAACCACAGTTAATAATGATAATAATAGTTGGACATTAACTTCAACTTTTGTAAATTATAGTACAATTTTAGGTGGTGGTAGTAATTCAGGCATACCTGAAACTAGCGATTATGGACCTTCTTTTATATCTTCAACTTTTCCTACAATAAATTCAACCATACCTTTATCTTCGCTACCATCACCAACATTGAATATAACTTATACTATTCCGGTAAAGTTCTCATATGGTAATATTTCAATTTGGCAAGTAAATTCAACAAGCATCTCATCATCATCATCATCATCAACAACAACACCTTCTTACATTACAACATTATTGCCATTTAATTATCAACATTCTTCGAGTATACTGCGTCAAACAATATCACCCATCACATCACCTGATTATTTCACTCTATCAAATAATAATCAAACTATAAGTTTCAATTTTATTGCTAGCACGTTCAACATACCAGATCAACAATATTATATTACTGTTGATAATACTTTTGTTAAAGATCGTCAATACAATCAAAATGTGCTAGGTATACAGCCATTCGTATGGAATTTTTATACAGGTAACATTATTAATATTGTTGTTTGATAATGTGATTATTATTTTTGCGATATTAAATAATAATTATAAAAATTTAATTTAATTTTAATAGAAAGCTCCACTTCAGAACCAAGTAAAGGTAAATTTATGTATATGTATATATATCTTTTTCAAATTTTTTAATCATTTTATTTGATTTTAATAAATAAAAACCAATTATTCATATGATATCAGGATCGTCAGAAGCCATAATAAGATTAAATAAAAATGGCACAACATATTATAGATCATCATTATTATCATCTAACAGTGATAGAAATTTTTTTTCAAATGCTTTGTCAAAAGAATTAGCTGCAATAATACCTTGTGATCCTGATAGATTAACTGTTTCCACAAACTATCAATTTGATCATAATGGATTAGTTGATCAATTAGTTTTATTAAAGATTGAAGTTCAAGGCCTTGGAGATGTAATTAATGATAATAATATTTTGGATAAATTAAGTTCCGATGATATAATATATAATTTAGATATTTTAATTCGTCATAAAAATATCACCGGAATTTCAAGATCAACGAGTTCTAGTTTATTAGATGAAGATTTTGGTACTTTGAGAATACGTAAGTCTCCACAAATTATAAAAGTTTTTTGAAACTTTCTTTTGAAAATAATATATATTTATTTAGCAGTCCTGTTGAAAACATATGGATTTATATTAATTGGTGTGGTAATTGGGCTCTTGTTATTAGTATCATTATATCTTAAAGCAAGAAAATTAAACAAAACGGTAAATTTTAATTTTTAAAAAAAATTTAAGTAATATTGGGATTAGCATTATCATTTTATTAATCTTTTATTTATTTATTTGATTTTTTATAGGGTAGGAATTTTATAATATTTGTCTTCGTTTTTATAGTAATTGATTTAGGATTTGATATTGCCTTTGTAATATTACATGGCGAAGATTTAGATTGGTTATACCCTGCCAGGTAATAAAATCAATTAAAATAATTCATCTTTCCTTTCTTTTTCTTTCTCTTCTACTACATTATTGATATTAATTTTTTCCCCCGTTTAATAGTATGGTATTTTTAATATTTCCAATTTGTTTAAACACCCTATTCACATTTTATCTTGTCTCCAATGAGACAGCACATGAAACGAATTTTGTATTGTGGTGGAGGAGAAATTCAAAAACTGCATTACTTTGCACCTTATTTTCTGGTGCTGATATTGAATGTTTAAATTTTATTTCTTCGGGATTTGCTAATTTGGAGGCATTAAGTGCCCCGATATCCCTGAAAACTAAAAGAAGAATATTTTGGATACAATTTATTACTATATTTATAGAGGATTTACCTCAATGTATTGTATTGGTTAGTATTCAAAGCTATAACTAATTAATATCTTTATTAATATCTTTACTAATAATAACAATATCATTATTATTACTATTTAGATGATATATCAAGTATTCAAAATACTACCAAGTATAATACCGGTTCTAGCATTAATATCAAGCGTTTTAATGTTGTTACTTAAATCAATAAATAATTTTTATCTTAAAAAAAGACCAAATGAAGACCTAACTAATAATAATATAATAAGTTTACCTGACATCGGTAGTCCAATTCCACCATTATTTGAAAATAATCATTCATCAAATGACGAATATGAAACACCATATGAAATTGAGACCGATATAACGGGTGCTCCAAAGTTTCAATTTAGGAAAGATTTCGATATGCCGTCAACTAAACCTATACTTGGTAGAAAAGTAGTAGGGATAGTACATCCGGATGAAGATGATGATACTCATGGTGAAATGTCAAAAGGTAAAAGTGCTGATGTCGGTAGTGTTGTTGGTAGTAGTATTGGTGGAGGTGACGATGATGGTAGTGTTATTGGAGCTGGTGCTGGAGTTGGAAGTGGAAGTGGTGTTGTAAAACCTTCCTTCCATGGGAAAAGAAAAAGTGATAGTGCAATTATTGCCTCTACTGATGACCTTCAAGGTCTACAACAAAAAGCGGGGGAGGAAAAAGAATCATCATCATCACGTGGTATAATTCCTTCAACTTCAACCTCAACTTCAACTTCGACTTCACCTACCTCACCTGTCTCACCTCACAGTTTTAGTGGTTATCAATCAAAAATGATTGAACGTTTTGATGATACTGATACACCGATTGGCACATCAACAATACCTAAAGACGACGATGATAAGGAAGGCGATGACAATGATAAAGAAGGTGACGATGATAAAGGAAAAGATAGTGAAATAAGGTAGCAATAAAATGACTATTATTTATAAATATTATAATATATAATATAGATAATAGTAATATAAATAATATAATAAGCATTAAAAAATTAATTTTGTAAATTAAAATTTTGTATTTTTTTTTTTAAAAAAAAAATATTAATATATATAAAGTTTTTAATTTAATATATATTTTTAAAAAAAAATAAAATCAAGAGGAAAAAAAAGATTATTTATATAAAAATTAATTTTTGGCATAAAATTTTATTAAAAAAATCGGGACACATGAAAAGGACGAGGGACGGCAGATGTGGCTTGAACCCGTCCCCCGTCCTTTTCCAGCATCCCAAAAAAATCTTTCATCAGGTAATTTATCTATGTTATGGCGACACATTAAAAGAAAAATGAACAAAATTCTATCAATCACTCCAGGCTCTACAATGTCAAGGTGATGAAGATAAAAATAATTATGTTGATCAAAATTGCCTTTTTCTTTAGTGTATGATGAACAGAGAGCAAGGGCCTGTGTTTTTTCGGGTCATAGTATATGTATATGATAAGGTTTTAAAAATTTAAATATAATTTTCAACCTCCTTTTCATTTAGAAACGAATTTTACTTTTTATTAAAGACACGTAAATAAGTACAAATTATTTTTATGCACATGTGATAGGCGGATTTATTATACAAGAAAGGAAAACAGCCAGCCTCTTGTAATTATTATCAACATACTTTTGATGGACAACCTGTTCGTATGATTTGACATTTTAAGTGAAAAAAAAAAATATTAAACCTTTCTATAAATAATGTACCCATTCATATAAAATTGCACTTTCATGTGACTTCCACGTGATTACCGTGCAACAATAAAAATTAATACTAATATGGAAGAAGCATTTGCAAATATATTTACAGTTCTGTAAAAAAAACCCAATCTGTGATTTAAAATTCCATATTTACTTCAGAAATGTATCATATTCATGGAAAGATTACAGGGGGGAAGACGGACTTTGCCCACTGTTTCAAGTTTGTGGAAATTTCCACAAGCATTTCTGAATTAAAATTCAAATAACAGATTATTATTTTTACTCCTATAGGAGTAAAAAAATACAAAGAAAAAAATGCACATTACTCTCAGTAATTCCATTTCTCATCAATCATCAAAGAGTGATTTCAGTGGTAATTAAAAAATCCCACTAAATATTTAATGGATTTAATTGATATTTACCTACAACCAAGTTATTTGTTTTTCAACAATATAATTTGGTGCCTTTATCACTTTGTACCAATTGACTGTCCCTTGAATATTTATCTGCATTGAAAAGCCTACTTTAATTTTATTATCTTTTTTATGTTCATTCAATGTTTTCAGTCACTGCTGTATATATGACACTTCACTTATGAAGAAAACCCCATTAAAGACACTATAATAGAATGGAATTATATATATATTATGTTAGTTTCTATATGATTTCTTCATTTCAAGGGAAAACTTGATAAGCTTGACCCTACACAAAGTTTAGATACTTAAAATGCACTTAAAATATACATCACATACTTAAAATATACTTAAAATATACCAATGGAAGAGAACAAGAACATTTTAAGTATGTTTTAAGTATGTTTTAAGTATACTCAAAACACACTTAAAATATACTATATACTTAAAATATACTTAAAACATACTTTTGATGGTAAACTAGCATACTTGAAATACACTTAAAATACACTTAAAAGGTTACTTAAAACATACTTAATTTTGTTCATTATTACAAAAGGTATGTTTTAAGCACATTTTAAGCACCTTCAAGTAGACTTTAAGCATGTTTTAAATACATTTTAAGCACCTAAACTTTTTGTAGGACTCTAAAAAATACCAACAAATTTTTTTTTATCTTGATTTCTGCTACAGGTTTAAAAATTATAAATATCCCGTCTACAGTTCACTCTCTCTATAGCAGCCTTTTCTATAACGATCTTCATTCTATAACGAACTGAGAATTAAAGCCAGATTTTTTACTATTTAAAATCTTACTATGGCCAACAATCATACATAATACATCACATGATCTGAAAATCTTTTCCGAATTTAAAAAAACGTGACAAAAAACTTCATATTGCAGTTATGGTAATAAAATTTTTTAGCAAAATAAAAGATTGAATGCTTGTCATGTATATACATGATATGGTAATTAGCTAATTACCGTAAATACGTAGTCCGTAATTGACGTAATTAATTACCACTTTCATCATTAAAACATAATTACGTAATTAATTACGGCGACGAAACTAATTACGAATAAAAACGAATTAATTATTGGAAATATCATAATACAAGTCACTCCCGTTATAATAACACTCTCCGTACAAGCAAAAAATGTCAGTATGACGAAAATGTCATGATAACGGGAGTTCACATAGAAGTCATATGAGAATCATTATCATGTAATTTCGTAATTATACATATATTTTTTTATTTCATTCATGTTTTATACATTGTATTAATTATTCTACATATGTAAACTCGATAAGTCGGCCAAAATATTTAAGTAATTTAATTCGATAAGTCGGTTTACTCTATAAGTCGGTCATATGAGCTCACCCCCACATTACCGACTTATCGAGTTTACATATGTATCAGGAAATTTAAAACTTACGCCGGGTCAAAATTGACCAGCATTATACGGAAGTGTTACTAGAATTTTCCATGATGCTAATTTTGATCCCGGCGTAAGTTTTAATTTCCTTATTATTATGTTTTTTCAGAAATGATCAGAATGATTTTGATTGGATCTCCCATTATACTGTCATGTCCGTTATAACGGAATAAATTCTATAACAATAATTCTAAAAAAAGTTGACAAATTATGTCATTATACTAGTATAACAGGATAAATAATAAGTGTCATTTAATTTCGTCATTCGTAATTAATTTCGTTGTTCGCAATTGGTTTCGTCACGCGTAATTAATTTCGTCGCCCGTAATTGATTACGTATTACGTTTTTGGCAAAACAATTAACTGATATTCTGAATATTATTTGAATATCATGAATATCTTACTAAAAAAGGAAAATATATAATAATAATAATAATAATAATAATAATAATAATAAAACCGTTTTTTTTACATTGTATTCATGTGTATTCAAAAAATTTGTTTATTTTACATTTAAGGAAATTAAGGAAATTTTTTATTCATTTATCCACTCTATTTTGTTAAGAATATGTGTTTGTTATTTTGATTAATATTGAAAAATTGGCATTTTTTACTTTTACATTTTCAAAAAGATATGTTGGCTTTTTTTTTTGATGAGGAAATCAATTTTGTAGCAATCAAGTATCTTTACATTTTCAAAAAAAGACATGTTGGCTTTTTTTTTTTTTTTTGATAATAAAGAAATTATCTTGTTGTTTTTTGTGGTGATTATGTATCTTTAAATTTTCAAAAAAAGAGTTTTTGACAATAGAGAAATAAATTATCAATTATCCTGGTGATAAAGCACCTTTTACACAAAGGATTTTTTTATTTAGTCCCATCTTTAAAATTGTTATTATTATAAAATGATGGTTAGATATAAATAAACTTTCTCCTCTGGTAATAATAAAAGTGATTATGAATTATTAGATAATATTTTTAATGTTTAATTAATTTTTATTATTATATTTTAATAAATAAATACATAAATTTTTTGAAAAAAAAAGTTGCACTGCATGATCATGTGCAACTTGTGCATGAAATTTTAAAAATCCTTGCATTTTCCCATCCCTAAGGATTACCCTTAAATGAATCACAATAGGTCTGATGTGAAGGGTCATAATTACCATTTAGTAATGTATGATTTAACAATTTTTTATTTGTCATTAGCAAAATGATTATTTGTAATAAAATATCTGATGTAAAAACTATCTTTATTGTTCATTTTAGAAGGAGGAATTCTCACTTGTGTACTACATTTATATTTTATCACTTCTATCAGTTATAATGCATAATCACACATTCTTTCTTTGCTGTTTTTTCTTCTCAGTAATTTTAAAAAGAGAACTTTTTTGCTTTAATCATTTGATGATTTATCATGGATAATGCATTAATATTTTATTATCTCAGCAGTTGTATTGATCATATCATTCATTTATCATGAATAATGCATTAATATTTTATTATCTCATCATTGATTGTATCATTCAATAATTTAGAGTCTAATTGTGAACAATACATTTATATTTTTTATCTCATTTTTATATCATCATTTATATCATTGATTATATCATGTGAAGAAATACATTTGTATTCCTATTATGTTCAGAAATATGTATAAAAAGATTGATTTTGCAACCTTTTAATGTTTGAAATAAAAGATAAATAAATAAATATTTTAAATTAAAAAATCTGATAAGTCAGTCACAAGGGTCTGCCCTGATATGACCAACTTATTGAGTTTACATATGTATATAAAATGAATCATTTGAATGAATGAATAAACAAATAAAGCAAATATATAATTTGAATAAATAAATAAAGCAAATATATACAGTCAAACCTTGTTATAACGAATTTCGAACTAGTACAAATTTAGAAAGTATCTGCAGAAATATCTAATCAAATATAGTTGGCTTGGTCTAAAGACCTCCTAAATTTTGGGCAAAATTTAAAAGTATAGAAGTCATTTTCTGTCCCATCTTTTAAAAAATAGTTCTATTAGTTGTTAGAATATATATTTAATTTTAATGTAATAAAAAGTTTTTCTCAAAAAAATTCTTTGTTGTAGAGTTCTATTCTTTTTTAAAACATGTACTTTACTATGCTCATGAGAAATTTGAGCACTAGGATCACTGTTAAATTTAGACTAGTTTTTGAACATCATTACTAAATTTAGACCATACTAGACCATTATATCTAAATTTAGCAGTAAAATAATAATTTTTAAACCAGAATCACATGAAACCCTTTTTTTAAAAATTTTTTTTGAATGAATCAAGAAATTGCAATTTTTGGAATTTGAGCATGCGGCGCAGCAATAGGAGGTCTTTAGACCAAAGCCAACCATACAATATTTCTGCAAATACTTTCCAAATTTGTACTAGTTCGAAATTCGTTATAACAAGGTTTGATGTAATTCAAATAAACAAATAAACCAATCATTGAATAAACAAATAAAATGAATCATTCAAATAAACAAATAAAATGAATAAATGAATAATTAGGATAAACAAATAATTTGAACAAATGAACAAATGAATAAAATGAATACATGAACAAAACAAATAATTCAAATATATAATCAATTTCTTTATCTGAGTCTTCTTCACTTGATGCATATCCTAAATTTTTATTCAATTCATTATTTGATTTGTTTTTTTAACATTTTTAGCTTTTTCCAAATGTGCAGTTTACTTATTCGTCTTGGCATTTCTTCAATTGGAAGAATGTAAATCTTTTAGTAATGTATTGTTTGCTATTGTTTACAAAAAGAATATGATGATGGTTTTCTGAACTGAATTTTGTAATTTGTTTTGGTCGCGTGATTGGAAGATCTTTTACTAAATAGGAAATAACATCTTGTGCCAATTCATTTTTGATATATAGTAAAATTGTACAACTTTATATAGAAACAAAATATGCCAAACTTTAATAGATTGGGAACTAGCAATGCCTCACTTTGCCTCTTCATTGTAAACTTGTTTTAATAAAAAAAAACCTCATGATGGATGTTAAGTGAGAGGTCATCATTACTATTTTTAGTAGATAGCTTTCTTAATATTGAATAAGAATTATGAATTAGCAAAAATAATTTTATAGCCTTGTATCACATTATATATTGATCACATGACAATGATATGCTTTAAACAGAAGGACCGTTATAGAGAGTGAACCATATCATAATCAGGGTTGGCCATGATACCAGTCCATTTGATCCATTGGTATAACATTTTAACCATACTTAGTATTTATTGGGGTTGGTCACAATGGTTGATCATCAGATCAATATAGAAAATTACTATGTGCGGATTTTTTAATGTTACACATATATATATCATCAAAACATTATAGTAAATAATCAAAACTTTAAAACGTAAAGCCTCGATAACCAAGCAAGCTGTTGGAATAATCCTTCCGTGATTGTATTTGCAGATGCTCAATT